AACTGTAATAGTTAAATAGCAACTAGAAACATAATTTATCAGCCATACAACATCTAAATAAATGCTATAATAACTCACGAAATACCATTAGGTCACAATAGGTCACAAGATCATTATATCGTCACTTCCTGTGATATGATGGGTATCACGCCATTTCCTGTCTGCTCCCTATGTTGCTTATCATTGTAATGCGCTCCGAAAAATTGCAGGAACGTATAATCATTGTTTTTCCGTCTGTCCATCTGTTTTTCCGACATGAATAGTTTCCGGATGATAACTTGAGTAACCCTTGCTTAATTGGGATGGAACTTAAAGAGATGTAAAAAATATGGAGAAGATGCATGTTGATTGCTGGGTTAATATGTCAAAAGTCAAGTTCACTGTTACTAAAATGGAAAACAAAAGGCAAAAGGTTTTTACTTTTTTTTTACATTTTCCAGGGAACCCATGTCCACATTTTTAAAGGTAGATCATATGAAATCTTTTGAATGTTCTTTACCTTATTTATTTGTAGTAATATAATTAGCTATGTACGACAGATGAACCTCTGTCCAATTTGTTTTAAGTAAACTGTCTACCCTTCCGAATCACAACTGGTTTTTGGTGAGATTCGAGTTTCTAAATCTTTAGTTTTCTATGTAGTGTTTTATGGATTTCTTCGTCGTTTTTCGTTTTTTGTCATGGGTTTTGTCAGTTTTTCTTCGACTCTTTTCTCTCTCCAAAAAGGTTATCTGTATATTGGGACTTTGGAGAAAATATTTGAAAACAATTTCGGTTTCTAAATACCTGACTTGTTATACTCCCTCAAGCAAGTAGATTTTGCTTAGTCAAATTGTTTTTGGATGAGGAATCGGAGTATTTCTGTATGAATTGTAACACATTAGTTATACTAGTACATTTCTTATTTATCACTCCAAGAATTTGGAACCTGTGAATGTAAGTGTGCAGTTCGGGAAGCATCAACAGGTTGTGCCAGCTTTTCATTTGTTAAACAAACTCCAGTTAAATGGGGAATAAACCAACTGATCATACCTAGAGAAACGTATTTGAAATTTATGGTTATTACTCCAAAAGTATGAACAAAATTGAAACTACAACGAAAATGTGGAGTAAATTAAACAAAATACAAATGAAAGGTTTTTTCTTCTACCGCTTTATCATATGCTTTGTAGTAGAAAATAAAAGTAAATCCTATGTGTAATTATATATACAATCAATGGCAATCAACCTGTATCATCCATCCGTGAAGATTTGGTTATATAACTGTTGACAGGACCAACTCTTTGCTACTTGAAGCATTTAATATGTCTAATATGATTGCAAAAAACCATAAGAATTCTGTGTAGGATGTATGAACTAAATATTGCAGAAGTAGACCAATTTTGACCTGAAACTGTTATTTTAATCGGAACAGCTCTTAAAAGATTGAAAAGTAACTTATTAAGTATTTTTCAGTCTTTTAGTTAGTTTTGAGACTTATCAATTGCGGCAAATTCAGAACTGTGCAGACAATTCGCTTGAAGTCAAATAAGATCAGTTCAGTCTATGTCCAGACAGGTCATTAGTTGTTATCAGCCTTACTCATTTTTAAAGCAACTTTTTAGAAAATATCATTGATCTACTACAAGTAGTTCCTATCAAACTGACAGAAAACTTAATGATTATTGACGCCGACGACACCGCCGTCATCGTCGGAAAAGCAACACCTATGTCTCTACTTCCACGACTTCGGAAACCAAAGTATTATAACATATACTATTATTTTTGGCTCAAAAAGTATACAAATTCTGCAATTCTGTTATTGACAAGACAACAGGCATAAACAAAATAAAAAGGTTGAAGAAAAAAATGAATTTCATAGAGTACAAATTTTATCGAACAAGAGCAGGTCTTGGAGGTTGAAATAAATCATTGATTGAGCAAATCAGGGATATAATTGGTCGTCATGGTTCATGTTGGCTACAGCTTCATTAAAATTAGCTCAAGCTTTACGGCAAGAATGGCAAAGAGTATCATAACACAAAGGCAACGAGTTATCCATTGAATGAGAAGACGGTCAGTATCTTTGATTCGTGTGAACATTGTAATGTGTTATTGCTCGGTGACACATATTCTCGTTTTCCAATCAAAACAGGTTGTGATATTGAAGTTTTCTTATTGCAAGCATCCAAAGTTAAACATTGTTCTTTTTTAGTACCCACGAACATCCTCTTGTTTGTAAAACCATAAAGTTATCTAAATTCGTTGTTTTTCTTCAACCTGTTTAAATCATTTATGACTATGGTTTTGTCAATAACAAAATGGTATACTCTATTCCATGCGTTTTATTCCGTTCTCGCATTTGGTAGTACTAATATAGAACTCTGAATAAACCACAACTGTTCTCATACCCTTTATTGGTAAAGGTATTCTCATACGTTGAATGCATTTTCACTTGAAGTTGTGGTGATATAATCCATGGTTTAGTCCCAGGCGAAAATAGCTTTATCAATAACTTCAACCTGAAAATAAACTGGTTTCACACTATCGCATGAAATCGGAGTCAAAACCATAATTTTGCATATAGTTTTGAAAAATTCATATCATAATGAACATGCCCAGTAGCCAATACCGAAGTACTGGCATGAAATTACTGATATTGGGTTATCAAACTTTGCTGCTACAAAATTTTGGTAATTATTTTACTGAATTAAGCAATGTATCTCCCTCAACCAAATCTCGGATTCCTTGACCGGCTTTGGCTTGACTGTTTGTCCTTTTTGGTTTATAAGCTGTTCATTATTTTTTTTTGGATTTTCAAATGTTTTGGTCTCGATCATCACTAAAGAGGCATTTATTGTCGAAATGCGAATCTGGTGCAGAAAAATTGGTACCGTTAATGTTATGTCAAGTTTTAAGGTAATGTAACCTTGCACTCCTGGTAACCAGAAAAAAAACTTTAAATAAATACGAGACGGACAAACAGATTAACTGACAGAATAAACAATAAAGTGCCCCCTTCTATCATGTCACAGTTACATTTAGAAAAGCAAAGATTCTAAATATGAAAAACTAATACTCAAAGTAACCTGGTAAGAGAATAGCTGGTCAATACATCATGTCTTAGAGTTACTCAAAAAATTGCCTTTTCTCAAAAACCAAACGTTATCAATGAACTATAGAAATGTGATAAAGTCAAATTAACCTAGCAGAGTGACCTGCAAACCTTATGATAAATAAGCACCGAATAACTATTTATTACACCCCACGCTACAAGCCACGAAGTGGTTTAAGTCATATATATTTTTTACCTGTCTGTCAGTCATTTTGTCCATCACTTCGTCAGGTCATTTTCGTTCCAGATGCTGACTCAATACTTTACAAAGGATGGAAACTTTACTTGAATATATGGTCTTATATAATGAGAGGAAGATCCCGTTGACTTTGAGGTCATATTTCAAGTTAAAGGTCATAATTTTAAAAAAAAACACAAAAATGTATGTAGAAAAGTCGTTCCCCGTATGCTTTATCAAATTCTACATATTGGATTTCAAACTTACTTGTGTTAATAATCATATATAATTAGAAGCCCAATGTAACTGCAAATTTTGAAGTCAATACCAAAAAAATCAAGGTCAAAGATACTAAGGAAAGACAGCATTTTGTGCAGAAAAGGTAATGCTCAATCAAATACTAGTATTACATTTTATGTTTGAAAACTTGAGCATATATAATGAAAGGAAGATCCCTATTGATTTTGAGATCAATACCTCCAGGGTCATCATAGTTACATTAAAGACAAAAATTTGTGCAGAAGGTGGTTACCAGATGCAACAACAAATACAATATATGGGATTAAAACATTAATTGGATATATGGTCTAAAATCATAATGGAAAATAATTTACCCTCTACAGGCTTCTCCAGGATACATTGCTTTTGTGTCTTACTGTAGCTGGTGCTGATCTATAAAACTATTTATTGAGATTTGGGGACGGATGGCATTGGGGGGGGGGGTGTATTGTATGCTGGGAGGCGGCGGGTGGATACAAACACACCCAAGCAGAAAATTTTTAATTTTCAGTTTATTTCTTATATTTTAATTTAACTTCATTGTCTTGCTCATGAATTATTAATGTCAAGCCAGGTCTGCAAAAATTTTCGTTTTACAGGTTTCTGACAACACAGTGACCTAGTTTCTACAGACCAGAATTTCGCTGGCCATACATTACCTCCTTGTGTTCCTGACCTACCTATGCATCCTTTATGATGATAGAAAATACATAGGACCTATACCATTATCGTAGTAACCACTAAAAGACAGACATCCCCGACAGATTTCTGCTACTTTTCACAGTTTTTTTATATTATCTCCCGAAAGAGCAATAAAGTTGTTATATTTTCATAATAAACTGTTAACACAGAGATATGTCTCGCCTTTTTGTATTTTTGATAATGCAAATGTTGAAATTAAAATAGCAATACTTTAACATGTAAGTTATGCAAATATTCAAAGTCAATGAACCATGACTGAAGGTACATGACAAAACAATCTCCATAGAAATGAGATGTGCCATGTACTAATATATGTAAACTAAGCAAAAGTTTCAAAGTCAACAGACCATGACTGAGGGGTCAGGGCCAAATAATCTCCATGGAAATGAGATGTGCCAGTGCATATACAACTGCATACCAAATATCATTGACCAACCACTAGTGGTTCACCTTAAACTAGAACTAATCACAAACTAATACATTGTTGAAGCCGCCACCGGAAACAGCATACCTACGTCTTGACTCCATCAAGGCGAGACAAAAACACATCTGGAAAGAGTTTATTGGCCATGAATTGCATGGTGGAACTCCCTGCTGTCAACAAAACTCAGCTGGGGCAGTTCTTAAAAAATCTGGAGGGTAATACGGGCTATAAAAGTATGGCTAGTGCAATCACAACATCAGGCAGGATTGGGGCAAATGGGTTGGTTAATCAGTTTAAAGTTGGTGTTAAGATATCTTCTAAAATTTGCTTGGATTAATTTATTTCAAACAATGGCACATTAAAGTTACTTACACAAAATAAGTTTTTTTCACAGAAATTCCATGGAATCTAAATAAAGCACATCAAAGTTACTTATACAAAATGAGTTGTACACAGAAATTCCATGAAACCTAAACAATCAAATTACAACAGTCTTCATTACATATCACAGTCATGTAGTATGGCTATTGTCTGAACAATCTAAGCATAAACATCAAGAGAAAATCAGAATTAATCATACATCATGACAATTTCAAACTGTAGAGGGAAAGTCTATCTGTCTGCATGGAGCATATGATTTGATCGTTTAGACTATCTAGTTTTGTCTAATATTACCAAGATAAAAAATATCTTTTTTTGAAAGTTATAGAATACATATGAATAATACAACTGTCAAAAAAGGAGTTCCTATTAATGTGAAAATTTAAATTTTTTAACATGAGATAAAAGCAGCCAGTATTTAGAACAGAAAAGTAAATATTGCCATTATCATATCTATAAAAAAAACTACGCTGTACATCAATTTTTTGTGTCAGCTTTTTTTCACGATTTGATGACCAAATTGGGCAGGTTAAATTTTCACTGAATGGGAAAATACACCCGAAAAAATCACTGTATCATATTGATAATATGTAGACAACATAAACTCATTGACTGAATCATTACAAATAAATATGAGTACAATAACTACAAACTAAAATACAGATAATTCGGAGAAATTTCAAGGAAAGTAAATTTTGTACATTGCCACATGCTACAAATTAAAAGGAATTTTGATCATTTTTGTGATGGTATAACAGAGTATGTTTTAATCATATTTGTACAAATATCAGTGTAAATGTGATAAATTTTATTTCATCTTTATATTGTATGTAACATGTCCGGGTTATGACACCAATCAATAGATCGTCTCAAATTCACATTTTTTTAACAGGTCACTGATTGTTGTGTTGTCAAAAGGTATGACATGTATGATTAGCCAATTTAATTATTATGAAAACTGGATAATTAACAATATAATGTATGAAACTGTCATACAGCGATAAATCTTCGAAAAATACAGGAAATTGACACGTTTCTTTAGCTTATGTGAAAAAACCCAATATATGGTAATAGTTTCAGAAAAAAGAAGTAAAAAACTGGTATAATCATAGAGAAGAAAACATGAATCTTGTTAGGAATGCAGCTTTAAAATGCACAAATATACAATCACATGAGAACTGGTTAAATATTTCCTCAAAATAAAAGCAAATGTATGCATGATGATAAAGCTTTAATGAAATTTCTAATCCCTTATTGATGAAATTATCAAAATGTCAAAACTTCATTACAAACGAAATTCAGCTAACTATAGTAAGCATGCTTTTAAGAAATGTCAGAATGGTTAAATTATCATAATTATAAACTTCATGAAATTTTGTTATGGAATTCAAATATATTTTATGAAATTGGCTTGCACACAGTAATGCTGTATCATTTAAAGACAATGAGATATTCAGGATAAGCCTGAGTATCATGGAATATAACAAAGATGCCAGGACTCTGAGGATTGTCAACAACACTGTCATATAAAATATGGCCACCAGCAGCTCCTGGTTTAGGTGGTGGTACTTTCATGCCACCCTGTCCTTTGGCGAATTCTCCAACTAGAACTTTACACATATACATCCTCTTGTTACCATTGGGATCAGGACGAGCATACTGGGCTTGAGCAGAATAAGTTGGATTGACAGCAAAATAAACTCCATTACCATATGCCACAGCTGAAAAAAGTAATAAATTCTTTCACATTGTGGTTATTAACCTATTGTATGTAGATTTAATATAAGTATCTATTGTAGATCATTTGATAATAAATTGAACAAGGTAATGAGTGTTGAATATATACAAGAAGGTTCACTGTAGATATTGATACAAAAATTTTAATCAACGATAAAAAAAGAGAGGAAAAGCACAAAAAAAATATGAAAAATACAAAAGTCAAAAGATAATGTAAATTTGCTTTTCATGTTTTTAATTACCATTCTTTCCACAATAGCTTCTGTTAAATCCATATGTATTAATACTATCGACTGCTTCCATGGCTGTACCATGCCAAAGTTTCAGTTCGTTATTAGTCCCTTTAGTATTTGTAGAATCCATGGACTTTTTCTTAGCTACATATTGTTGCTGTAAAGTTCTGTTCTGTATTTTCTCCATCTAAAAGATAAAATAAAATCATAATTAAGTTCATCTCCATAAGGTAAAGACAAACATACATTGATTATTATTTGTTAACCTTTAGATGTCTTTTCTATTTTGTGTTGATGGTTTGCTGTTTCATTAATATAAACCTATATTTGCCTTTATTTATATATAATTACATAACATGTATGTTTCATTAGAATCTGTAATTTTTATTGGCTGACATCAATCGCGAGACTCCATATTCATGTTTTATTTCTGTATAAAATACAACAGCTTTTACAACCATATAAAATTATAAAAAGAAGCATTCAATTCTTATAATTACATTTTTATGCCACAACAATGAAATTAAAAGTTATATTAAGCTTTTCGTTTTCAATGCATTCATAGCTGTTGAATTTTATACAGAAATGAAATATGAATATGGAGTGCCTCGCAATTGCTGTCAGCCAATCAAAATTACAGATTCTAATGAAACATACATGCAATGGGTCAAGTAAAATAACCTTTCTAATGAGTCATAACAACAGAGTAGGGAAATTTGAATAACAAATTTTGACTTAAAGCACTTGACAACAGACTTCAATTGTTGATCTTTTTTGTGGATAACTTCAGAAAATTAAATTTTTTGTGTGTTATCTAGGGTAAATAGTCATCAACCTCTGGCCTTCCAAGAAATATTCAATTAGAAATTTTTGGGTTTTTTTTTTTAACTTTTGAAAATCCCCCCCTGACAACCAATCAGACAATAGTTTAAAGGATGTTCGCTACTCTTGTTTTTAACTTTTTGTCAGATATTTGGAGTCCTCTAGTTTTTTCCATGTAATTCCAATAAGAATTTTGGCTGCTAACCCCTACTTTTCTTTTTATAATTTTATTACAGTTAGCTTAAAAAGCCATTTTTTTTATTTCAATAAAATTTTCATAGTTTTTGAAAGAAAAGAGGTACCAATGTTAAATGTATGCAAAAATCTAGGGAGAGTCCTTTCCCACCAAATTTTTAATTAACTATATTTCAAAAACACGGACCTGTCACTTTTATCTATTTTTTAAGTTCCTTAATCTATATACTATCAATTTATAACAGTCTTTTAAAAAGCTTGTATTTTGAAACAGAGGAGCAAACATCCTTTAGGTGACAAAAGGCCTAAAAATACATTAAATGATGCCTGATAGCTAGTAGATACATTTGTCTTAAAATACAACTGTCTTATATTTAAGGATCTTAATGATGCTATGTAAATAAATTTATCGATTTTAAAGAGCAAAAGTGACAGTGCTTCATCTCTACAATGGCTTCCATTTTCACGAATGAAAAAATAAGTTGGCGTAATGGGGAGATAATTTGTGAAGACATAAAATCCTTACTGTAATACCTTAACAATACTGTTATAGTTTCCTGCCATATTCGTCTGGAAATCTTTTACCACATCTTGGTACTCCATATCAGCAGGTTGTAATGTAACAATCTTTATATTCTCATTTTGATCCATGGATGCCCAGTTAGATGGCATATCAAAAGCAGAATCTGCAATCATACATAAAACTTCTTATACACAATACTTTTAATTATTCTGCTTTTACCTCTAAAATTGATTTTGTTTTCTTCAATGTTCATTTTGAAAATATTTTTATATTTCACTAGATTCTTTTAAATTTACTCCAAGGTTTTTGAAAGATAACTTAATTCATTCACAATTAGCAATGTTAGATGTTCATCAAGAAGTTGAATGTGTTGTCATGCTAAGCATACCCCTACTTGTACTTCAAAGTATCAGAAACAGGATGTCAAGCTGCAAAACAAATATGAAGACATTCTTATCAGTAGATCTGTAGAAAAGTGTGACAAAAATATTTTTTTTTATTCAAAATATCCAGAGTCCCATGTTACAAGTCGCCACTTCCAAGCTACTGACAAAATTTGAAGCCATTCTGTTCAATTGTTCCTGATGAAATATTTGATGAACAAGAGGAAAATAGGATGGACAGAGTAATTGCAATATGGTCCTCACTCCTAGAGGTGGGGTATAATAATTAATAACAGTGTACAGAATATGCATCTATCCCCATATATTCCCATGTTTAAACTGGTATCCACATTTACCTGTCATTTTAGACTTTCTGAGAACAGCCACAGTATCAGATGGATCATCTTCAGGATATTCCTCATAATTATTAAAGTCCACAATATATTTATTTCCACTGTTATCGAGGAAGAATGCCTGTGGTTCGTTTTTTTTTAATGCTTGTTCTAAAATTAGATTAACTTCTGCTGGATACTCCTCCAGTTTTTGTCCAGTATCTTCTACAGAAATAAAATACCACTGCACCATGTCTGCTACTAACTTAGCATGTTGTTGTTTCTGTCTTTGTCTGTCAACGTCTCGTAAAATTTTGTGGACCTCATCCATAGCCTCGGACAGATTTTCTATCAAACCTCTGACTTTGATACGACCTATTCTCTTATTAAAGTCTATCTCTACTTCACATGTTTCTTCTAACTTCATAATTTTGGCTTCCTATGAGAGAAAACATTAAATATTTAAGTCCAATTTTGTACCACAATGACAGTAAGGGCTGTTTCAGAATTAAATATAGAGGGGGAAAGCATTTCTGTTTCCAGAAAAAACACCAATTTTGAAATAAGTGAGTGACCTTGAAACAGTTTTGTTCAAAATTAAGCCTGATCTAAAAAATCTTTTTTTCAATCATGCTTTGTATATAAACCATGTAAGTCACCAACTGGTTGGATAGATAAAATCAAGGATGAGATTAAAGAGGCAATGGAATATAATTTTGATGTAATTCTAACAGGGAATTTTAACATAATTTTTTTAAATCAAATAACATGCCACAAACATATTGAATGCTTAAGAAACTTTTAACTTTCATATGTTAACTGTCTTGTGATATATGATCCAAAAACATTAGCTATACATATGTCATCAATTTAGAAATTACTAAAATGGTTCATGTATCTAATTATATATAAATATTCTATTAGTGGTCATTATCTAGTTTTTTTTAGTACTTCACCTTCCACCTTTTTTAATATTGATCGGAAGAATAACAAAAGTTACAGGGAATAATATAAAATAAATTCATTTCAGAAAAAGCACTTAATATATAATATAGGTATTACAAGCGAAAACACAGGACCAAGTGCCTCAATACTGTAATCATAGAATTTAGTAGTTAACTCAAACTCAATTTGCTGATACATGTATTGAAACCATACAATATAAGGAGATGTGGTATGATTGCCAATGAGACATATATCCAGCAGAGTCCGAATGATGTGAATTTAAGCAACTATAGGTCACCATACAGTCTTCAGCAATGAGCAAAACCCATATCGTATAGTCATGCATACTTACATCTATCCTTCTTAAGTCTCGCACATTTATGACACTTGACAAACAGATAATTCTAAATAAAATTTTTATAAGAATAAATAGTATTAAACTTTGTGATTTTTAAAACTGAATTTAATTTGCTAACTTCTATATCATTTGTTCTCTAGTGGAAAGTTTTCTCATTGCCAATCAAACCACATCTTCTTATTTTTATATTTACTCTCTTTGGTAAACCTTAAGAAAACCTTTTACTAAGCCAGTGTCTTAATTGAAAAACCTCACTTGTTCTTTGGAGAGCTCTTTAATTACAGTATCCTCAATAAGTTTTTCTTTATAATCATTGATCAAGCTCTCTTCTAATGATCGTAGCGCTGAATCTGCATCATTCTGTTTCTTGGCATACACAACAAGATTCAGAACAGAGCTTGGCATCTTACTGACTTTCCATTGCTTTGTAGATACTGTTTTCTTATCTCCTAAACACAAAGTTGAAAGTTTGTACTTGGTCTAGATTTGATAAGGGCTATTCCAGGGGAAAATATAAGGGGGTTTGACAACACCTTTTTTTTTATACCCTGCTACCCAAAATTTTTATTTTCATTTGGAACAGAATTGTTCTTGCTTCTACCCCTATTACCCACAGATAAAAATATCATGTGGTGTCCAACCCTCCAATACAATTTTTCATAGATTAGCCCTAAAGAACTTTAAAATCAGCACTCAAGAAACCCTCTTTTCTTAGATAAATATGAGGATAACAGAACTGAGATTAGGGTTCTAAAATGAACCTTTGGTTACTCTCTATATATAATAAAATGCTTCGCTGGGGCGCAGCTTGATACGACCGCAGAGGTCGAACCCTGAACAGTTGGGGCAAGTATGGACACAAAATTCAAGCTTGATACAGCTATGACTTTGGATTGCCATTTAATATTTGACACAGCATAGGTTTCTGACACAGGATGAATGTGGTGTAAGAACTGGAAAAAAATTAATTTACCTATTATGGTGGACTATCCATAAACTAAATTGTTTGTTAATTTCAATATATCAAAGAATATGTAGAATTCAATGTTTGATGTAATGTAATAAAGTTGAAATTTGGACCGTTTTTGTTCAATGTGGACCAATTTGGTAACATGTATAAATAATCAAAAATCTAAATACATGGGAGCCCATTTAAATACATCATAAAGGTATTAAAATAGAAAGTGACATCATAGTCATGGCTAAAAATAAACAAAAATCCTTAATCAGCAACATTTAAAGTAATATCTAAAAATAAAATTCCTTTGTAACCATAAAAGCCCATTTAAATACATCATAAAGATATTAAAATAGAAAATGACATCATAGTCATGGCTAAACATAGCAAAAAACCCTTAATCAGCATCATTTAACAGTAATATCTAAAAATGGAAATTACATCATAAAGGTATTAAAATAGAAAATGACATCATAGTCATGGCTAAAAATAAACAAAATCCTTAATCAGCATCAGCAACATTTTATAGTAATATCTAAAAATAAAATTCCTTTGTAACCATAAAAGCCCATTTAAATACATCATAACAGATATTAAAATAGAAAATGACATCATAGTCATGGCTAAACATAGCAAAAACCTTAATCAGCATCATTTAACAGTAATATCTAAAAATAAAAATTTCTTTGCAACCATAAAAGTAAAATAGAAAATGACATCATAATCATAGCTAAAAATAAAAAAAAATTTTTTTTATTGGCAAATTTTAAATGGAGTTTATTATACTAAAACAATAAATTTGCAACCATAAACATGATAAAACCCCATTTAAACACATCATAAAAGTATTAAATAATTCAACTACATCATAAGGCTATAAAAATAGAAAATGACTTCATAGTCAAGGCTAAAGGTAAACAAAAAACCTTCATCAGCAAAATTTTATATTGGCAAATTTCCAATGAAGTTTATTACACTAAAATTGTTGGCAAATTTCCAATGCATTTATTAACAATAAAGTTATTGGCAAATTTCCAATTTACATAATTTAAAAGCAGTGTAGATGAGATATTTAAATGAGTTTGAATTACCAACCTTACACTGCTTTTAAATAATGTTCTTTACTCAATTATTTGTCTATTAAAATGGAAACCCTTGTTTTTTAACCTTTTTTCCCCTTATTCCTTAAACATTAGAGCCATAACCACCACCACCACCCCCCCCCCCCCCCCCCCCCCAAGCCAATTATTACCTTTCCAATGTAACCTAAATTTCCAATATACATAATTTTAAATTTCAGTTCCTCATGATATATAACCGTATCATTATTATTTTCTTTCATATATAAATCTGAAACAACCATCTTTAAATGGAAAATTTTAAAGAAAAAAAAAGGAAAAAAAAAATCCTACCCCCCCACACATTTTTTCAACCCCCTTTTGATTCATCATCCCCCACCTCAATCACAACCTTCAATTTGTGGTATGGTACATTGCAATACAATTTCACAGAGATCCATACACTTGAACACAAGTTTTTGTTGCAAACTAAAAAAATCCTTATTTTCGACCAATATTTGGCCCCTTATTCATAAATGTTTGAGCAATTAACCCCAAAACTCAATTCCTACTTTCTCTTCGTGATAAAAAATAACTAACTTAAAATGTAAATTTTAAACAAAAAAAAAAGGAAAAAAAAAAATTACCCCTTTTTTGACCCCCGCCCCCCTTATGATTCATCACCCCCACCCCCCTTTCCCCCCAAACCAAGCTCAATAACAGCCTTGCCTTTGTGGTATGGTACCTTGTAATACAATTTTAGAGAGATCCATACACTTGAACACAAGTTATTGTCTAGAAACTAAAAAATGCTTATTTTAAACCCCTTTTTAGGCCCCTTATTACTAAACGTTTTGGGCAATTACCACAACACTCAATTCCAGCTTTCCCTTTGTGAAATGGAACCTTGTAGTAAAATTTCAGAAAGATCCATACACTTACACACAAGTTATTGTCATGAAACTAGAAAAATGCTTGTTTTTTGCCCCCTTTTGGCCCCTTATTCCTAAAATTTTGAGGCAATTAACCCCAAAATCAATCCCAGCATTGACCCTTTGTGATATGGAATCTTGTGGTACAATGTCAAAGAGATCCATATGCTAACACACAAGTTATGTCTGGAAGTTACAAAAATGCTCATTTTCGGCCCCTTTTTGGCCCCTAATTCCTTAACTGTTGGTACCATAACCCCTAAAATCAATCCCCACCTTCCTATTGTGGTATTGAACCTTATGGTAAAATTTCATAGAGATCCATTCACTTAAACTAAAGTTAGAGTGCGAAAACCATTGTGTATTCGGACGACGACAACGACGACGACGACGACGACGACAACGTCATACCAATATACGACCTCAAAATTTTTTTGCGGTCGTATAAAAGAGAACATCCACAAGACTTCTTGTGAAATTCTGAAGGAGAATGATACTTGACTAGCAGTATGCATTAGTATCCTGCATAGTATGCATATTAACCTGGTGCAGCAGGTCATGATGTGCAATTTGAACACAGGAGGCTTTAACAGTGTTGTTTCCATTCTAATTCCATTGTATTTATATTTTACTTAATTTTAACTTAATTGAGAAAGTGTATACCGGTACTATATACAGTATGTACTATCAACTACAAAATTTTTTTATCAGCGTCTTTGTCAATATACAATCAACTCAAAAACTTTTTTGTTGGCATACTTGTCAAATTTACTATCAACTACAGCAACATTTTTGTTGCCGTCTTTGTTAGATTTATTTATATATTTTTTGAATTTTTTAGTCAGTTGTGTTGCATGTCTGTGATGAATGTTTACAAAGTTTTGGCTGCTGGATCCCACATTAACCTATTTTGTCAATATAACGGAACTAAAACAACCGACATACAAGTGGGAAGTTAAGCTAGCTATAAAATTAGGTTTAACCCACCTTTTTCTTTGGAAAATGCCTGTACCAAGTCAAGAATATGACGATTGTTTTTCACTCCTTGTATTGGTTGAAAACATTTGATTTTGTCAATTTTTAAGAACTTTCCCCTTTTTTTAATTACCTTGGAGTTCGGTATTTTTGTTTTACTTTTTTCCTTGCACCGATCTTTTGTGTTAAGCCATTTGCAATTGATTTTTACATTTTGTTCTTATGTTGTGCTGTTACAACACTGTCCCAGGTTAGGCGGAATGTTGAAAACAAACATATTTAACAATGCCACATTCTTTATGAGCCTGTCCCAAGTCAGGAGCCTGTAGTTCAGTAGTTGTTGTCGGTAATCATTCCACATCTTCTTATTTTTATATTAGAAGAAGACATGAAGCACTGAAATATAATATTTCATGTTCAATTTTGAATATTTTCATTCATTTTTTTTTTTTTTTTACTGAAATGTATTTTTAAATCCCAATAAACTACATAATAGAGATCTGACATTACCATATCCAAACATTCCTTTAACTTTACTGAACAGTCCTTGTGATTGGTTACTCTGTGACTGTAAGCAGTTCTGCATGGCTGCCAGGAATTGAGATACTTTGTCCTTCTCATAAATTACTACATGAACTTCAGAGATATCTGTAGTCTTCCTTTGAAAACTGACCAAAGCTTCAAATAGATTCTCTGCAACCTTGTCTATTGAATAGCTTATTCCTGCTCCTGTAAATCATCAAACATTGTACATTATAAACTTTAATTTAGCAAATACTAAAATCCAAGAGAGTTAAAAAATTAAACGTTTTAACTCATAAGTACCTAGAAGCTCTACAGACATTGTTTAGTCACTTGGGTCTATGCTCTTTCAACAATGTTCATTGCATTTTTAAATTGCTTAGTTAATTTTAGCTTTGGCGGTAGAATCCTGTTTTCAGTGGACTGGAATACACTGAAGTTCATAAACCATAAACCTTATTTAACCAAAGTCTGGTTTTGATAGCTACTGGTTCTTCCCTTAGGGGGCATTAGCTGTCAAATTCATGTTCACTGATTTGACCCAAATTCTCATACATTTATTTGATTTATAACATACTAAAATGTGTATTCAAATTACAATAAATTGCTTCACTGAGCGCAGCTGGATACGACCGCAGATGTCCAACCCTGAAAAGTTGGGCCAAAATGGACATAATATTCACGCTTGATACAGGTCTGAATTTGGATTGTAACTAAATTTTTGACACATAATAACTGTAGTCAAAGAACTTCAAATTGGTTATATGATTTGAATTTATATTCAATTTATTGCTTTTGTGCAATACACTATGCTGTTGCGAATTGACCCCCCCCCCCCCCCCCCTACCAAAAAAAATTATTTTACCCCGGTTTTTTGCTTTTGTGCAATACACTATGCTGTTGAATATTAACCCCCCAAAAAAATACTTGAAGAAATTTTCATTTAATTTCTGAAATCTGAAATGAGAAAAATTGTCCCCCCCCCCCTCCAATTTTTTCCACCTCCCCCCTTTCCCTTATTCCCCAAAAAAATTCTTTCCCTCAAAGATATGGTCAGTATCTCAATTCAAATTTCTAATGCAGTTTGCAACCAAAATTACCCATTTAAATACATTATAAAAGTTTTAAAATATAAAATGACATATACATAGTCATGGCTAAAATTAATATTAATTAATAGTAACTGCTAAAAATAAATTGACAGCTAATCACCTCAAGACAATCATTATTTCTTAATACATAATTTACAAGCAGTGTAAGGGAGGTAATCAAACAGTGTTCTTTAATTTGAATTGGATTACCTCCCTTACACTGCTTTTAAATTGTCTCAATTGTCCTTTAACCAGAAAAACCCTTGTTTTCCCCTTTTTTTGCCCCTAATTACTAAATGGTTTGAGCCATAACCCCCCAAAGTCAATCCTAACCATCCCTTTGTTGCATGGAAGTTTGTGGTATAATTTCAGAGAGATTCATACACTTTAACACAAGCTATTGTCTGGAAACTACAAAAATGGTTATTTGGGCCCCTTTTTTGGCCCCTAATTCCTAAACAGTTGGAACCATAACCCCCAAAATCAATCCCAACCTTCCTTTAGTGGTTATAAACCTTGTCTTAAAATTTTATTGATTTCTATTTATTTCTACTAAAGTTATTATCCGGAAACCATCTGTCTTCGGACGACGCTGGACGACGACAATGTGATACCAATATACGACCAAAAAAATTAACAATGCATGGACACATTATAAGTATGAGCATTTTCTGCTTATTTTAGACTAGATGCCATCTAATTATCCATAGAGATGACCTCCGAAGACTGCAGACAGTCATATAACCCAATATAAATAGACAGGCAAGCACGTGCAATCAATAATGATTATTTTTATAAATCTGTTTGATTTCATGTTATAGATTAAAATATATGTACATCATCTACCTGCATTAGAATGATTTTTTGTGGACCAGATCAATCAACGAAATGGTTATTCCTGGTGTGTAACTTGTTTCACTTTTAAATGTCGACATTCTTTTCTTTTTAATGAATGAACATGCTAAACACATGTGTAACCCAAGCCAATAATACATCAGCGATGTTTTTAGCTTATTTTGATGAAATTGAACCAAAATGAAAACTAATACACAATATCATTTCTATATTCCACTTTTATAAATGTTTGAAACCAAAAAAACATATTCTAATTTTAGTCTTATTGCTAATGCCCCGTTAATTTTCCAATCAATTAATTATTGAACATTTTAACCATTTTCATGTCTTGAGTCTAGAGGTTGTAATGATTGAAAGCTGATTGAGTCATCAACTATAAATCTTAAAAAGAAAAAAACATAAATTTATTGTTTAATCAAAAATTAATATCATTAGTTTTGAGACATTCATTGTTATAAATTATTTGTCCAATATTCTATTTTTAGACAATGTGGCAATCAAGTTTGAAAGTGGATGTCGACAGTAGGCCATCAACTGTATTCTTCAAGCAATTCATAAATGTATCATGTTACAAAAATATGGTAGCAATTGGTCCTTTTTATGAATTTTTCAGATTTTGTAGTCCATTTTTTTCTACTTAAGTAACAGGGGTAGGCATTCTTGGGTGCATATGGAAGTTTCAACTGTTATTCTTATATATAGAGGATAAATGTCTCATTTAACCAAAGTGTGGTAGCAATAGGTTCTTCCAATGATTTTTCAAAATTCCTTTATTGAATATTGTGTTTCCATTTTTAGTAGGATGGATGCAATGTTTGGCAGGGGATGGGGTTAATCAACCACTTTTCTTAAAGAAACATATAAATGTATCATCTCCAAAGGGTACCATAGGACACAGCACCCTGTTTGCCCTATCACATTCTATGTTCAGTTAACCAAAAAATCTGTCTCAAATATAACATATTTTAGTTACAACATCCCATGTCTATGAAATCGGCAAACAAAGTTCTGAGCAGCAGAGAGCAAGTTAATGAATTAGACAAAAATGTACATATCTGTAATGTTGAGATTACAATTTAACAGTTTAAAATGAGAAAGACAACTTTAATGTTACATTTGTAAATTTTACATGTGAGTTATGATTGCCTTAAGCTTTACCATGATAAAACAGACGATTTTTGAAAATAGAGAGATAATTTGATTACTATTGGTTCTTATGCTTTATACAGTCTTAGTCACTTCTCAAGTTTCTAGTGATTATTTTTTGTTTGCTTTATCTAAATGAAATCTCCTTTTTTAACAAGTTTTAAATACATTTTAAGTTGCATGTAATCTGATTGTAACTCCTGATGATTGATACTTTACCTAAGGCTGGCAATGCTACTGTTTTCTTGTTCAATTCATCAACTTTTTCCAGGACAGTTTTAAATTTATCCTTTAGGTCCACATGACTGTCCTCCATATTGATATGTATTATAAAGTCACAACTGAAATTATTTCCTGCTGTTGTCGTGGCAACACCTTCCCTCTTCATTTCTTTCTCTTTATAAAGGAATACAATGCTAAATTATTGAAACTATAGTTAATTTTTCTACTGATTACACCAAAAGCATTATTACAATTCCTAGTAATGGATTTTTTATTATTCAGATGTTGTTTCTAAAATAACTGGTCATTTCAGAAAGTGTACCAAAATAAAGCACCATGGAAAATTTTTCTTATAGATTTTTACCGTTATTGTACTATGTATATTACACAGAGCTTGGTTGCTGTTACTGAATATTGTTTGGTATTCAATCAAAGAAAGGAATCAATTTTCAAAACATACATTCTTTCTTTCTTATGTATAAGCTTCCTATCTTAGAAATACCCCTTTTTGGGTAAATGAAAATATTTAAACGAGTAGCTGAGAGCAAATAAATATATATCTAGAAATACAGCCATGTTATATATCATTACAAATGTTATTACCTGTACTTACAAGTGTTGGTCAAGTTTTATATTTTTGATGCAAGATCCCAAGATCCCAAGCAAATTAATCAATAAACTTTGATTTTGTTTATTACTTTGGCGTCTGTCAAAAAAATAATTAGGTGATCGGACAATATATAAGACATTCAGAAAATGAAGCAGTAATATTGGTCCAGGCTCAGTGAAACAGACTTGATATGCAATCCTGAACATACCTGGGCATACAACGACTAGAAAGTATAGTTTTTCATTGGAATCAGCAGTAAATTCTGTAAGAGTCAACTGAATTGTAACCAGTGTTAAGTTTTCACCACACAAATAAACAAAAGGTCAGATATCAAAGACCAATAACTTACTAGCTGCAGGTACTGACAATAGCTGTGATAGTTCTCTTCCTCCTTTTTTGAGAATAGCTTGAGACACACCACCTGTAAAATATCAAAATGGTCTTTTAAGAATGAAACATACATATCATTTACAATTTTATGCAAGCACTAAAATTTTATCTTATTCTTAGTAATTTCCTGGTTTCTCTTGATACATACATATACATAGTCTCAGATTGCTTTGATATCTTGACAACCTTTTTAAGGATTTGCTGGGGATGTAGGATCATTTTTCCTACTGGGAAATGGATCTATTTTGAAACAGAAACTCGTCACCACAAGTCTGAGTCAGCAATTTCTATGTTTTCTATAATGAATTGTTCTCTTATATCACACGTTCCAAGCCATTCCCAATAAAGCCTGTCAAATTTCAGAGCTATCTTTGACTAACGTATACAGAGGAAAAGAAGTTGGTGCTATGATTAAATTAACTATTTATTTGAAGTACAGTTCAGAATTCAATAATTTCACAAATTTGGCTTAAAATAATTTTATAACTAATTGAACATCACAACAAATCAGAATTGTAAAATCAAAAGAACACAAACTTATGAATATCAATATTTACTCTTACTAGCATCATCAACTTTGTTGAGAAGTTAGAAAATAAGAAAACAACAAAAAATTAATTATTCATCAAGACAAAAGATTCACCTCTCGTCAAGTCTAGTTCTCTGTTAGTACCATTAACAATAACATCAACAGTGGCCTCAGTTAAGTCCCCTTGGTAAACTTTCAAGGTCAAATCTCCAATGTCAACACTAGCCTGTCTATTGTCAGCTAAGGCTCTCTGCTGCCACCCACCTGATGCTCCTTGATCTATAAATAGATATCAATGAACTGTTAACAAACAGCTTATAATGTATAGGGTTCACAAATAAATAAATTGTGTTTATATTTCTATAAAGTCTTGCTCTTATTGAAAACTAATTGACAAACAACTCTAAGAATCTATATCATTCCTTTTTCTGTAGTAAGGATAACTTTTGTAAAATAATAGAACAATTTATCCAAAAAACTTTTCAAAGCTAACAAATTTCTGTCAAAAAAGCCATATCTGTATATAAATGAATGGAAATAAAATATCTACAAAATATAAATAACAAGAAAAAGGTGTCCACAGGACACAATATCCCACTGGCATTATCATTTTCGTTGTTCAGTGTACCATGAAATCTGGGTCAAAGCTGTTATTTGGCATCAAATTCAAAAAGTTCACGTCATAATGAACAAGTGAACTAAGCTGATCTTACCACACCTTCAACTACCATAACCTGGGAATGTATTGGTTTCAAAATACCACATTTCCATGTTCAGTGAAATATGAAATGGGGGTCAAACCTGTCATTTAGCATTTATTTCAAAAAGTTCACATCATAATGAACATGTTTACTAAGTTTAAAATTGATGAGACTACAACTTCATAGCAAACTACCTTGACCAAAAACTTTAATCTGATACAGGACAAATAAAATAAATGTTTATTGACAGTTGTATTTTGAACTATAATGGAGATTAAAATGGACATTTGTGTTAGTGTTGCACGCTAGGAAATTGAATAAAATCATTCTTAAATTAAGCTTACATGTATCTGTTCATATTTTAATCATGATGAAACGGTTGGTTTTCTATACTGTTTTGACTTCATCAAATCAAAATGGTTGCCTTGCGAACCTGTTTTATAGGTCCACCTCGAAGTACAAAAGTTCAAAATTTTCCTATTAGAATTAAAATTGTTCTATCATGCCATGCTACAATAAAATGCTTCGCTGGGGCGCAGCTTGATACGACCGCAGAGGTCGAACCCTGAACAGTTGGGGCAAGTATGGACACAACATTCAAGCTTGATACAGCTCTGAATTTGGATTGTTATTAAATATTTGACACAGCATAGGTTTCTGACACAGAAAGAATGTGGTCTAAGAACTTGAATTTTTTTAATTTACCTATTATGGTCCAATGTCCAAAATCAAAATACATGGTTAGATTCAGCATATCAAAGAACCCCATATATTCAATTTTTGTTAAAATCAAACACAGTTTAATTTTGGACCCCAACTTGGACAAACTTGAAAACTGGGCCCATAATCAAAAATCTAAACACATGTTTAGATTCAGCATATCAAAGAACCCCAAGAATTCAATTTTTGCTAAAATCAAACTAAGTTTAATTTTGGACCCTTTGGACCTTAATGTAGACCAATTTAAAAAACGGGACTTGAAATTAAAAATCTAAATACACGGTTAAATTTGGAATATCAAAGAACCCCAACAATTCAATTTTTGATGAAATCAAACAAAGTTTAATTTTGGACCCTTTTGACCTCAATATGAACCAATTTGATAGCGGGGCCCACAAATAAAAAATCTAAATTCATGGTTATATTCAGCATATCAAAGAACCCCCATATATTCAATTTTTGTTGAAATCAAAACAAAGTTTAATTTGGACCCCAACTTGGACCAACTTGAAAACTGGGCCCATAATCAAAAATCTAAACACATGTTTAGATTAAGCATATCAAAGAACCCCAAGAATTCAATTTTTGTTAAAATCAAACTAAGTTTAATTTTGGACCCTTTGGACCTCAATGAAGACCAATTTAAAAAACAGGACCCAAATTAAAAATCTAAAAACACGGTTAGATTTGGCATATCAAAGAACCCCAATAATTCAATTTTTGATGAAATCAAACAAAGTTTAATTTTGGACCCTTTTGACCTCAATATGAACCAATTTGATAGCGGGGCCCACAAATAAAAAATCTAAATACATGGTTAGATTCAGCATATCAAAGAACCTCATATATTCAATTTTTGTTGAAATCAAACAAAGTTTAATTTTGGACCCCAATTTGGACCAACTTGAAAACTGGGCCCAGAATCAAAAATCTAAATACATGGTTAGATTCAGCATATCAAAGAACCTCATATATTCAATTTTTGTTGAAATCAAACAAAGTTTAATTTTGGACCCCAATTTGGACCAACTTGAAAACTGGGCCCATAATCAAAAATCTAAACACATGTTTAGATTCAGCATATCAAAGAACCCCAAGAATTCAATTTTTGTTAAAATCAAACTAAGTTTAATTTTGGACCCTTTGGACCTTAATGTAGACAAATTTAAAAAAACAGGACCAAAAATTAAAAATCTAAATACACAGTTAGATTTGGAATATCAAAGAACCCCAATACTTCAATTTTAGATGAAATCAAACAAAGTTTAATTTTGGACCCTTTTGACCTCAATATGAAACAATTTGATAACGGGGTCCACAAATAAAAAATCCAAATACATGGTTAGATTCAGCATATCAAAGAACCCCACATATTCAATTTTTGTTGAAATCAAACAAAGTTTAATTTTGGACCCCAATTTGGACCAACTTGAAAACTGGGCCAAAAAATCAAAAATCTAAATACATGTTTAGATTCAGCATATCAAAGAACCTCATATATTCAATTTTTGCTAAAATCAAACAAAGTTTAATTTTGGACCCTTTGGACCTTAATGTAGACCAATTTGAAAACTGGACCCAAAATAAAAAGTTTAAATACACTGTTAGATTCGGCATAACAAATAAATAAATGTGATCAAAGATTTTACAAATCTAATGCGCCATACTGTGCAATTAAAGATTACTTCTTGAAATTTTTCAATATTTGAAATTTGAAAAAAAAAATAATATTTGAAGAATAATTCTTTTTAATTTCTGAAATCTGAAATGAGAAAAAATTGACCCCCCACAATTTCTTTTTATCCCCCCCCCTTTTTTCCCCCAAAAAATTCTTTCCCTCAAGATATGGTCATAATCTCAATTCAAATTTCCAATGGAGTTGGCAACCATAATTACCCATTTAAATTTACCATAGTGCTAACTTAATCTATTTTATAATAGAATTAAAAATATACTGTCAAATCTTTCATATGGATTTTTTTGTAAAAAAAAAAGATGCAACATTTGCAGATATTTTTACTGGTCTTCCTTTATAGATATGCATTTCTTTAAACATAATTTAAAAGCAGTGTAAGGGAAGTAACCAAAACGTTGTATTTTGATTACCTCCCTTACACTGTTTTAAATTATCTTTATTGTTCATTAACCATTACTTTATACATAATTTAAAAGCAGTGTAAGGGAGATAATCTCAATGATGTATTTGATTTATCTCCCTTACACTGCTTTAAATTATGTTTTGTACAAAATCATTTGTCCATTAACCAGGACAACCTTGTTTTTCCCCCTTTTTTGCCCCTAATTCCTAAATGGTTTGAGCCATAACCCCCCAAAGCAAATCCTAACCATCCCTTTGTGGTATGGAAACTTGTAGTATAATTTCAGAGAGATCCATACACCGTTCCACAGTTATTGTCTGGAAACTAGAAAATGCTTATTTTTGGCCCCTTTTTGGCCCCTAATTCCTTAACTGTTGGTACCATAACCCCCAAAATCAATCCCAACCTTCCTTTTGTGGTATTTAACCTTATGGTCAAATTTCAAAAAGATCCATTCACTTAAACTAAAGTTAGAGTGCGAAAACCAGTATGTCTTCGGACGACGACGCCGGACGACAACGACGACGACGCCAACATCATACCAATATACGACCACAAAATTTTTTGGCGGTCGTATAAAAATGTATATGTTTATTCTAACATAGGTAGGCATTATATTTGTCAACATTTTACACCTCACTAACACAAGGTATAAAGGTATTGACCAATAAAATGCCTACCCATGTTAAAATGAGCAAAGCATGAAAGAATTATTTCTTAATTTTTTTCCGAATAGTGTACCGTACTCACATTTAGTGATCTGTTATGTAAATACCAGCATAATTAATGGTGTCACAATAAAAATAAATGGAAAATGTGTCCCCATGGACACAGATGATGCCCCCACTTGCATACAACATTATAAAGGGACATAACTCAAAAACAATAAAAGTGACGCTACCCAAATTTGTACTAGATCTGAGTTTTGTGGTAATAAGTATTGTGTATAGGTTTCATAATGTTTGGTTGGGGCAAACTTAAGTAACAGAATGGAAACTAAAAATTTTGCAATTTTTCGATTTATAAAGGGGCATAACTCGATAATGGTTAAAGTGATGCCACCAAAATTCAACTTGATCTGTGTTTTGTGGTAATGAGCATTTTGTATAAGTTTCATAACATTTGGTTGAGGCAACTTAAGTTAGAGAACGGAAACTAAAAATTTTGCATTTTTTTTTCCATTTATAAAGGGGCATAACTCGAGAATGGTTAAAGTGACCCCACCAAAATTTAACTTGATCTGTGTTTTGTGGTAATGAGCATTGTGTATAAGTTTCATAACATTTGGTTTAGGCAAACTTAAGTTAGAGAACGGAAACTAAAAATTTTGTAATTTTTTCATTTATAAAGGGGCATAACTCTAGAACGGCTAGAGTGACACTACCAAAATTCAAACTTGATCTGTATTATGTGGTAATAAGCATTGTGTATAAGTTTCATAATATTTGGTTGAAGCAAACTTTAGTTAGAGAACGGAAACTAAAAATTTTGGAATTTTTCCATTAATAAAAGGGCATAACTCTAGAACAGTTAAAGTGACGCCACCAAAATTCAAACTTGATCTGTATTTTGTGGTAATAAGCATTGTGTATAAGTTTCATAACATTTGGTTTAGGCAAACTCAAGTTAGAGAACGGAAACCAATTTTGGGACGCACGGAGAAATAGAAATGAAATTTACATTTAAGTTAAATTTTTCAAATTGTTGAATGATAAGAAGCAAGTCACATTGTTTAGGTATAAATCAGAAAAAAACAATGAACACCATCACACTCTTTTTAAACTGAACTTTACAATCTGTTTAATCTAGCACTACCTTGATCTGTTGTTCCATCAGGACCAAGATTTCGTGTCTGTCTACTGACATATTCTCCACTCTGTCTTTTTCTTTGTTCTTCCTCAAATGCCTTTAAAAACAAAATAAATACTGAGAAATGGATAAAATTTGTAAGTTAGTCATCAAAGATTTATTCCTACCAACAATAAAACAAACAAACAAACATATTTGTATTATGAAATCAATGTTTTTTTCTTCTGATATCTTAATATATTTTCTTCATTCCAAATTTAAAGATTTCTCCTCAACCTAAAGCATATACAAGTGTAAACCACTCCATGCAAGTGCACATTGCTTTTAAAAGAAGAATCAATCAATACTGAATACTGACCTTGATAGTAGGGTAATCCTTTTCGTATACAACAAATCTAACATCACAAACAGATGATCGAGGATGACTACTGGAGAATCTGTCGACACAGGAAAACATATTCTTAGCCACTTGATTTTTAGGATATCCCAGATTTCCTGTTCCCAGGGCAGGGAAGGCAACAGAAACAAATCCATTGTCATTGGCAATCTGTAGACAATTCTTCATAAAGGTTTCCATAATCTAGGGATTGGAAAAAAACAGAAATGAGTATAACTTTGGTAATAACATGGAACAAACTCAGGCACTAGTTTCTAGACATATCTGTTGGCAGCTATTAAAAGTTATACACAATGTCAAAACAAATATGAATCTCAACAGCAAGCTTCTTCTTTGATAAACTGTTGACAGAGATATGTCTCGCCTGTATGTAATTTTGATACATGTAGTAAAATGCAAATGTTGACATTAGATGGTAAAACTCTAACATGTAAATTTTGCATTGTACCATGATTGAAGGTGCAGGGCCAAATAATCTCCAGGGAATTGAGATGTGTTAATGCTAATTCAATTTCCTAAGTGACTGAATCAGACAAAACACATTAAAATACAGTTAACTATCGTTGTCTCGAACTCGGTTGACTCGAAATTTCGGATGAGTCGAAGTTTTCTCGTGGTCCCGAACTTTGTTCCATATAAATATATGTATTTTGACTCCTGATGAGTCGAAATTGAATGAGTCGAAATTTCGGTTGAGTCGAACTAAATTTACGGTCCCAAGGTTAACAGAATACACATATGTCAAAACATGACATCCGGGATTTAAATGGATTGAAGAGTTAATCTGACAATACACGTGTAATTAAATTTCCAGTCACTGACCAAGGTATTGATTTATGACATTCTATTTCCACGAGTGTTTACCTAAGATTATCTTTTATCACCATGATAAATAACTAGTGATACATTGTTAAAGTTTATGAAAAATTATTTAAAATGTTTACAAAAAAAATTAATTAAATCAATCGTGATTTACACTGATGAGCTTGGATCCCAGATGTGTATAAAGTGGGGATTAAGACTTCTGTTGGTGATCACATAAAAACTACTCAATCAGCATCTTTTATCTTTTTGTATTTTTTCTTTAAAAGAAGGATTGAGATAAAAGAAAATAAAAATAAATCAAAATTTCTAAAATCTCTTGTATCTGAGAATAAACAATTTTGTCAAATTTAAATGACTTAAATAACGCTAGGATCGATTGGAAATTACTCTCTCGGATAAAAGCCACAGGATAAAATTGTAACTGTTCTAAGAAATAATTAAATAAGTGAAAACAATGTTATTATAATAATGAAAGACCATAACATACAAATCCATCGATATGAGACCAGAATATCGATCCCCTTCCCATATTCATCCGGATTTATTTTAGCTTTACCAAGGTAAGCAAGAGTTGTGTCCCTTGGTCTGTCAAACTTCCGGTTTTCGTTTGAGTCGAACTACGGGTATCTCGAAATATTTCTCTGGTCCGGCTGACTTCGTGATAACGAGAGTCGACTGCATGTAAATTTCAGAAATAGTATTAATAAAACAAGCTTTCATTTAAAGCATATTTCCATTGCTGTTAAGCAATCAAAAGCTTGTATTGATAAAATTCATTTAAGCAAGCTTCTGTAGCAGTCATTGGGATATAAAAAAAACCGCTGATACATTTAGTTCAAGGTATCATTTAATCTGTACAGTGTACAATTACATTGTGTATTTACCTTCATAGCTGATGTACCATTAAAGCCAGGCAGGGCACCATGACAAATCATTTTACACTCTAACTTCCCCCCTGAAGTTTCAGCCACCTCTCCAGGCTGTATACCATTGGAATATTTCTGGCTGCACTCTGCCTGTATTCCTGTACCACCCATTTTCAGTAGGGACTGGGACACAGCTCCTTGATTCAACTGTAGACTTGTCGATGTTGTGTTAATAATCACATCAACCTAATGGTAAATGCAAATGTTTTATAAAGGAAGAAAGATATCTCTTTACTATTAGGCCAACTAAAATTTAGTAGATTTTCATCCAGATTTTTGAAAAAAATGAGGTCGGTGGGAGGATTTAATTTTTTAATTTTTTTTCCTTCGAAACCCTTTTGTAATGTGTTCTTCGTATGCAAGGGTAATAATAAGCTTATACCATGTATATATAAGGAATTCTACATAACTTTTAAATTCTTAATTAATATTTCTTAAATGATTGGCAACCACTGTTCTATATGTAATTGCCACTTTAGAAACCTATTTTCATTTGATACCAGAAATGTGGAGAAATGCTCTCTTTTAGACTACCCAGTACATCATTTTTTTTTGCTTTCTATGCTATGCTTTGTAGTGCCCATAAAATGAAGCTTATGCATTGGTATGCAACAAAAGTATTATGATTACAGAGTGAAATGAAAACTCAAACTGTGTTGAAAATACTAAGTTTGATGCTTTTAAGATTCTTATGCAAGGTGCAAATATAACTACAATGTAAAACATGAACTTAACTAAAAAGAAGAATTTGTTTAATGACTCTATTGAGGGGCTGGGGACAGTGGGTGTTTGCTGTTTGTCAACAAAAATAAAATGCTTTGCTGAGCGCAGCCTGATAATGACCGCAGAGGTCCAACCCTGAACAGTTGGGGCAAATCTGGATATAATATTCAAGCTTGATACTGTCTGAATTTTGATTGTGATCAAATTTTTGACATAATATAGGTTTCTGACACAAAATAAATGTGGTAAAAGATCTTACAAATCTATTGTGCAATACTGTGCAATTGAAGATTACTTCTTGAAACTTTTACAAAATTTGAAATTTGAAAATTTTTGAAAAAAATATGAATTCCTTAAAAAATTGGAAACACCCCCCCCCCCCCGTGCGACTTTTGGAATCCCCCCTTGGAGCAATTACCCCAAGACACGATCCAATTCTTTCCTTTGTAGTATGGAACCTTGTAGTACAATTTCAGAGAGATCCATACACATCTAACACAAGTTATTGTTTGGAAACTAGAATAATGCATGTTTTTGGCCCTTTTGTGGCCCCTAATTCCTACATGTTTGAGGCAATTACCCCCAAACTCAATCCCAGCCTTCCCTTTGTGATATGGAACCTTATGGTACAATATCAGAGAGATCCATACACTTACACACAAGTTATTGTCCGGAAACTACAAAAATTGTTGTTTTTGGCCCCTTTTAGGCCCTGAATTCCTAAACTGTTTGCCCCATAACCCCTAATATGAATCCCAACCTTCTACTTGTGGTATTAAACATTGTTGTACAATTTCAGAGCAATCGAAATACTTATACACAAGTTATTAACCTGAAACTAGAAAAATTTGTTTTGGGCCCCTAATTCCTAAACGGTTGGGACAATCATTCCCAAAATCAATCCCAACTTTCCTTTTGTGGTATTGAACCTTCTTAAAAAATTTCATAGAGATCCATTAACTTAAACTAAAGTTATTGTCCGGAAACCAATGTGTCTTCGGACGACGACGCAGACGACGACATCATACCATTATATGATCCCAAAAAATTTTTTGCAGTCGTATAAAAATGACAGCCTTGGGGTAAATCTAAGGGCTTGTTATAATGCGTTGTGTACGTTAGCCGACTTTTTGTACTCATTCGGTCATAAATCGCACAAATTTGTGCTTGTGTCAATTTCTTTATTCCAGTCATGTTTTTTGTACCAATGTGTTCCACGATTCTTGTGCTTTGAATATGACAGTCCAAATTTCCTGACACAAAGTCATTGTATATATAAATAGCAAAATCCATGTTTTTCTAATCACTGAAATTTGTGACATACTGCGATTTGCGTTCTTGGACACTGTCTATAACTCATAACCAAAATTTTTCATGCCCTTCCCGTAATCAATCTCTATTCTTTGAAGAGAATGTTTGCATCATAGAGTAGCAGAATATGTCGACTTAATTATTTTGGTTAAATTACTGGAAGAAATACCAATACTGAAATTTTGAACAGGAAGTTTTGAATGAAACGAAATTGGCGGCTGAGTAACAGGTAACAGAATTGAGCAAAATCCGATAATTGTAAACTTTTAAAAAGAAAAAAATTGGAGCAGAACGATTTCAGAGGGACGGACGGGGATGAAAATCTATCAATTAATATTAATGGCACAATTTTGTCGTTTATTTTGCCAAAAACTTTTTAATCAACTGTAAATTTCTTAATACTCACAGGCACTTGTCTCAGGAAAAAAATTTCCTTTATAGCTACCTTAATACAACACAAGGTACTTAACTCGCATTTTTGAAAAATGTCACCCGGTCGCAAAATTCCCTTATATTTCGATTTCTCGGTTGTCAACACCACTTAAACTTGTTATGCCGTAAATCTAAATTGATTTATCTACATAATGGTGTATAAAATGCCTACCTTTGTTGTCGGAATCATTCGTAGCAGGCATACCCAAGTATGTCAACCGTAATTATTTCGTCTTCCAACACCCAATTGTAACTATAAGACTCGCAGTAAATGATTAATTATAAAAAGTATTAAAAAAAAAAACTGTTAGTTTTTGTCTGAATAGAACTTATCATCCACATAGTAAATCTGTAAAAGATTCCGTGAAAAAAAATCTAACAAGTGTTATCTGAGGTATGTCGAATGAGTTACGAGTTTTTATTTTTAGACTCAAATTTTCCCATTCCATCGATGTCATTCAGACTCTCTCTGGACTTTACCTATGAAATGAGATAAGATCAGATAACTCTGAGAAACATTTATTTTTAGCAATAGACCTTCCCATAAAATTTGACCAATCGGAAACCGAGATATATAAAAAGAGCGGAAAGATACCTTTTACTGTGAATCTTATATTTCCAATGGAGTGTTGGTAGACGAAATAGTTAAGGTTGACATACTTGGGTAGGCCTGCTAGGAATGATTCCGACAACAAAGGTAGGCGTGTTATACACCATTGTGAAGATAACTCAATTTAGATTTACGGCATAACAAGTTTAAGTGGGGTTAACAACCGAGAAATCGAAATATAACGGAATTTCGCAACCGGGTGACATTTCTCAAAAATGCGAGTTAAGTACCTTGTGTTATATTAAGGTTTATAGGAAATTTTTTTTCTGAGACAAGTGCCTGTGTTAATACTGTATGTGCAATTGTGCTTATCAAGTTAACCTTTTTATAAACAAGATTTTCTCATTCTACATTTACAGTATGTTTGCATGATAAATTTGCATAGTTGGTCATGTGATCAGTCGAGAAATAACATGTGACAGGCAAAAAAAGTAATAGAAAATTTTAAAATTTTAATAAAGAAATCATAATTTGAAGATGTTTTATAGAAAAAGTGTCAAAAAGTATGAAAAAAACAGTGGTGTGTATTCCTTCTAAATATGCATTTTAATAACCCATCTGGTCAAACAGTGCTTTTGGTCAAAATTGACATTTTCAAGCTTTCTGGTGAACAATAAATGACTCAATTGCTCAGGCAAAATCACTCTACATTTGTAACAAAATCAATTTGTAATGGATAAGCAAAACACTATAGACAACATTAGGAATAGATGAGCAAAAAAAAATTGACAAGGTACAATGTTTAGTAGAGTCAAGTCATTTAATTTGGGAATAAATATTTTAAGGTGGAAGATCCTACTTCTGGGATTTGAACCAGATTCCCTCATTTATCAGGCTGATGTGTGTCCTCTTGTCTACAGAAAACTATTCTTTGAAACCCTATTTTTGGACGTTACTAACTACAGTTTCATTTCCTCATGAATTACATACAGAAATAATACTAAGAAAGAATAAAATGCTTGCTGAGCGCAGCCTGATACGACCGCAGAGGTCGAACCCTGAACAGTTGGGGCAAGTTTGGACATAATATTCAAGCTTGATACTGTCTGAATTTGGATTGTGATCAAATTTTTGACATAATATAGGTTTCTGACACAAAAAAAATGTGGTCAAAGATCTTAAAAATTTGAAATGGGACTTTTAATTTACCTAGAATGGTCTGATATCCAAAATCTAACAACATGGACAGTGGTTAGATTCAGCATATAAAAAAACACCAATAATTTAATTTTAGCTGAAATCAAACAAAGTTTAATTTTGGACCCTTCAAACCTTAATATGAACTAATTTGAAAACAGGGCCCAAAATAAAAATCTAAATGCATAATAAGATTCAGCAAATCATACAGCCGCAATAATTCAGTTTTTGATGAAATCAAACAAAATCTAATTTTGGACCCTTTTGACCTCAATGTAGACCAATTTAAAAATGGGACCCAATATCCGAAAAAATTATACAAGGTTAGAACCCCCAAAAATTTAAGATTTAATTAATCCAATCGAAATTGGTTAAAACATTTGTATTTTTATCAATTGAAGATTTCTTGCTATTGCGCAATACTGTGCAATTGAAGATTTCTTGCTATTGTGCAATACTGTGCAATTGAAGATTTCTTGCTATTGCGCAATACTGTGTTGTTGCACAATACTGTGCAATTAAAGATTTTTTGCTATTGCGCAATACTGTGCAATTGAAGATTTTTTGCTGTTGCGCAATACTGTGCAATTGAAGATTTCTTGCTATCGCCCAATACTGTGCAGTGGAAGATTTCTTGCTATTGCGCAATACTGTGCTACTGTGCAATAGAAGATTTCCTGCTACTGCGCAATACTGTGCAATTGAAGATTTCTTGCTATTGCGCAATACTGTGCTATTGTGCAATACTGTGCTATTGCACAATACTGTGCAATTGCACAATACTGTGCAATTGAAGATTTCTTGCTTTTGCCCAATACTGTGCTATTAAACAATACTGTGCTATTTCGCAATACTGTGCAATTGAAGATTTCTTACTATTGTGCAATACTGTGCAATTGAAGATTTCAAAAATTTGAAATTTCAAAAATTTTGAAGAAAAAAAATGAACCCCCCAAAAAATTGGGAAAAAAAAATCCCAACTTTTTGAACCCCCCACCCCCCCCCCCCCCCCCCTTTTTTGGAGTTAATACCCCAAACTCAATCCCAGCCTTCTCTTTATGGTATGGAACCTTGTAGTACAATTTCAGAGAGATCCATACACTTACACACAAATAATTGTCTGGAAACTACAAAAATGCTTGTTTTTGGCCCCTAATTCCTAAACTGTTGGTACCATCACCCCCCAAATCAATCCCAACCTTCCTTTTGTGGTATTGAACCTTCTGGTAAAAATTCATAGAGATCCATTCACTTAAACTAGAGTAATTGTCTGGAAACCAAATGTGTCTTCGTACGAAGACGACAACATCATAGCATTATACGACACAAAAAGTTGTATAAAAAGAAAAAGACATTTTGCATTTTATTTAAAACATTTTCAGAAGAACATACCAGGAGGTGGTTACTTGATTTTTATTCTAATTCTTGAGATAAAGAAGATTTTATTGCAAAAACTGTATTAAAAGATAATAGAAAATGCATTTTGTTTCCACTATTTGATCTCACGAAAACATGCTTACAATTAAACTATGTTAATTTTTTTTTTCATTTTTAGAAACTTTGAGGGGGAAGAAACATTGATTATATTTATTTTCAAAGTCAAATACACAACTGATTGGTATAACATTAGTTAACGATTGGTTTCTTTGTTTCTTTTAGTCATACTACAACATTTTCAAAACTCCTGATTTCCACATTTTCATTTTATTTTTCTTTAAACATACAGGACTTTGTATTTTTGAAAAACATAGGTATAATAATTGTTCTCTATTTCCAAAAAGGTCCATTTCAGTACACATAACTGATATTTTAGGAGAAGCGGAGTTTTAGTTTTCATTTAAGCCCTTGGTCTGATCTGTATGTATTCAGATAGAAAATAGCTTGAGGTTTGATTCCAAATTTCAGCAGAAAAAAATGCTTATGTCCCAAATTCATGTCATAGGAATGGTAAAGAGTATTGAAATTTCACATGAACTTTTGAACTTTTTTTGCAATAACTTGAAAAAGATAGACATTGTTAGACTGAGAATCAAACTAGGCATCTAAGGGGGGCTGCCATTTTTGATGTGTTGCTGGTTTTGTATATCAATTCAAATACGTTTTTGAAAAATGCAATCAGTGAAAAAAGATAAAGTTCTTATTTTCTCAGTTATGTACCAGTATTTTTTGTATCTTAATCTAAGAGTAAAATCTAAATCAAAATATTTAAATTTTTGACTAAATCTGTGCAAGTGGATTTACCTTGTTAGTGTAATTAAGATTTACCCATATGTCTCCTTTAATTAACTATGTTTCACATAGGCAGGTAGGTCATATTAGGAGCTATATATTAACATGACAGTTAGTTGTGATCTCTACATTTGTTGTGATGTTTACCTAAAGAAATCATTGCAATATAAATTTTCTTGAACATTCATATAGCTAGCACGAATAAAAAAAAAACAAGCATTCTGTGAGTATTGCCTGGCAATACATAGTCCACTACCGGTTAAAAATTCCTTGAACTGGAACAAAATGCTAACTTAATCTATAACTTATCATGGTGTAAACTAAATAACAAATATCAAGTCAATATCTTCAAGCATGACAAACAAAAAATGTGGAAAATTGATTATTTGAGTGAATTTTCTAAGTTCAAGGACCATAACTCTGCACAAAATCACTAGACCGGAACAAAATTTGAACTTGATCTGTTACTTGTCATGATAAAACTATATACCAATCATCAAATCAATATCTTCAAGTATGACCAAAAAAAGTGCGGAAAACCGATTATTTGAGTGAATTTTCTAATTCAAGGACCATATCTCTACACAAAATCGTCAGACTGGAACAAAATTCAAACTTGATTTGTAACTTGTCATGATTAAAGAATACATCAAATATCAAATCAATATCTTCAAGCACGAAGAAAATAGTGGAAAACTGATATACGGGACTGACAGATGGACAGACAGACAGACAGACAGACAGACGGACGGAGTGCAAACCTAAAGTCCCCTTCCACTTCGTCGGTAGGGAACTAATAACAACATTACCTCCTGTGAAGCAATCTGGCCTTTAACAAGTGTGACTGTTATATGGCTGCCTGGACTAGATGGTCTCCTGGGTGATGGACTTGGACCATAATCATTAGAAGCTAAATAACAAATATAATGAATTACTAGAGATTTAATTGAGTAGACCATACAATACTAGTCTAGCCTCAATAAGTCTAAGATGAAGGGACCTGACATAACTTTTGACTCATCCAAGGTAACAAGTCATATGATGTTGGAAGTTACATCATGTTTTCCTGCTTCAGTATCATACCTTTTATTGTTGGTATGACATGTATGTATTCCAATTCACCTGCAGATATATTGTTAAAAATAAATTTACTTCATAAAGAACAATGATAAGTTAAAATATAATACTGAAGTACTTGTGGAACCAAACAATTCATTTGAGATGTGTGTAATAAACTTTCTCATTTGTCTCTAACTGATGAGGTCCAGTCCTAATTGTGTTTGCATAACTTTTATCCAATTATTATAATTTTAGTGGACCTTTCATCATTTTTGTCTACATCTGTCATATCTGAAGCAAAAACTTTTGCAGCTGCATACAAAACGTCACTTGTCTAAAAGAAATAACATTAATGAACTGTAGTAATCACCTTAATGCATGTAGTTTTATCACAAGATCAGAGTGTTTCCAATTTATTATCAGGCTACTTAAAAAGGTGAAACAAGTTGTAACATAATACCATACCATGTCTGGATCTAACTGGAGGACTACTAACAAAGCCAGATCTCCCCCTCTGCTTTTTAATGTTAGTTTTATCAAAATATCTCTCCAGAGCAGATACAAAATGGTCGACAACATCTTCTTTAACATCACATAAGTAGATATGTCGTACTGGTGTTGCAGCTCCATTCTCTCTCATGTAATCGCGGATTGCCTCTACAATTACTTTGGTAGCTTTATTTGGTGGATAGCCAAACACACCAGTACATAAAGCTGGAATTGCTATACTTCTATATTTCTTATCTTCTGTTTTCTCTAAAGATGCCTGTATACATTCACTTAAATATTCATCTTCTGATTGGCGACCATTCTGCCAGACAGGTCCAACTGCATGAGCAATCATTTTGCAGTTGAGGTTACCAGGAGAACTACAGAAAATTTCTCCTTCATACATTCTTCTGGATTTGTTTTTGGAACCAACATAATCATCACATTCTTTCTGTATGCTTTTGCCACCTGAAAATAAATTTAAAATGACCTAGACTTTTTTCCTTAATACTTTTGTCAAAAATCAGGCTGAACTTGATGATCAAAGCATTGTGTAGGCAAAATTTTAACCAAAGTTATCCTTATTGAACTATCATTTTGTTATTAATAAGATAAATAATTCACTCAAATCAGAATCCTTCAAGTATGCACACATCTGAGACTTTTTGTACAGAAACAATCTACAATTAAACTATTTTAACTAAAATTGACTGTAGGAGAATCTGAGAAAAAACCATCACAAACACCAAAATTGGACTTATATTTAATAATTAATATCTGCCAAAGGAAGTAATTTACCTACAGTTCCGACCTCCTACTGATGTTAAATTGTTACCTTTGTCAACAATAACTTTAGCCAGTCCTCCTACATGTTTAAGCTCCTTATTGGCAGCATTAACAATAACATCAACATCAAGTTCTGTAATATCACCCACAACAGTGATAATTGTCTGTCCTGAAGGTATGGTACACATAGCTGTCTCTGTGTATGTTCTTCTTGGTGAGATTGGCTGAGACATAGGTCTGTCTTCCTCATCATCACTGTCAATGCCTGTCTGTAGTTGTACAACAACTTTGTTCCTTTTTTCCACTTGACTAATTTTGGCTTGTCCTTGTTCACTTGTCATATGTCGCACAATGCCAGCTTTTTTTATGGTGTATTTCTTTCTATATATAGATTGGAGTATAACATCAATCTTCTTCTTTGCGTCTTTAACTCCATTTGAATTTCCTTGAATAAAAACACGGATATTATCAATGTTCAATGTCACATGATCTTTTGCAAACTGTTCTTTAAGAGTACTTATTTCTGTTTGGTACTGTTCTTGTAACAATCTCAACTCTGAACTTGGCAGCTGTAATTTTTCCTCAGATATAGCATGGCGGTAAAAGATGTCATTGACTTTTTCTTTCACGATTCCTTCATCTTCTGCTGAAGTCTGATAAATAACAATGGTTTTTGTATCAGCCACAACAATTTTAACCAAAGCTTTCTGGTATTCCATTTGCACAGTCTTGATTTCTTCATTCAATGTGTCAGTACCTATCAAAGCACACTGTTTGTCATCAAGATTTATTGGAGCTTCAATGATTGATTTCTTTAGCACATCACAAGCAGTCACAGCACCTTCATCTGACAAGGAATACATTGTAATAACATTTCCCTCTTCAACACTCCAAACCCCTAAAACTCCCTTCTGCTTAATTTGCTGACCAACATATGTCTTAACCTCTGGTATTTTCAAAAATTCTATATATCCAGCAGAAAATTTCCCAGCAGTTGCACCAGTTATTTCCTGTATCTGTTCAAACATCTTAACCTTAGCTGCATTAACATGACTTGTCATTCCTGTGAAGATCATTATATGCTTTTTCATATTTACCTGGACACAAAGTCCTTCAAATTCCTTTTTCATTTTATCCAAAAAATGTAAATACAGTAATACAAGAAGCTGAAAGTGTTTAAGACTAACTTCTTCAGTAACTTGAAGTTTTTTCCTATCATGCTCAGTAGCAACATCTTGAATGATACTGTCAACTTTTTCTGCAACCTCATCAACAGGAATCTTATGGCCTACGATAACTATCTTACAGTCTTCTTTGGCAACTTTGATGGCTACACTTTCAGGATTAGAAATACTGATTTCTCTTAGATGTTTCAACACACCCTCCCAAGCTTCCTGCAAGGTTTGGATTTCATTCACAGTTAACATGCTGAAAAATTTCTCAGCTTCTGTTGTTACTGCTTTAGACCAGGTTTTGGCCAATTTTCTGCAGTCCTTGACTTCCTCTGTTAAAGTACAGTTGACCTTAATTGTATCCTTTATCTCTTTGATATCTGGCCATTCAACATCTGCGTAGTGTCGTGAAAGTTGTTTCTCAAAAGCCATTTTATTTGTGTCAGAATTGAGAAGGAATTCAATTTTCTTTGGATTTAGGTTTTGTATCACAATTGGTTTAAGGGATTTGAATTTTGGTCCATCATCATCTAGAGCAGCCTGACCTAGACATTCATAGTACACCTGTACTTTAAGAAGATGACCTTCAACTGTGTGTTTTCTGTTACAAACCTGGAGTGCACCTAAAACAAAATCAATAAATTTTTCTTATGTTTGATATAAAATAAATCATAAAACTATGATATAATAAGCATCGTTTTCACACCTGATAATTTAAAACTTTGAATTTATGTTTTGTTTATCTAGGTAACATAATGTTATTAGCTTTACAATACGTTCCATATGGCTAGTTCTAGGGGGTGTTTGACTATCCATAAGGGTTAAGCTGGTTCAATTTAAAAAGACAGCATAAGGCTTATGATGCACATTAGATATAATATTATTTAAAATTTAAGCATTTAAAGGAAGTATATATTAAAAAAATTATTTTCAAAATATTACTGTAAATTCAGAAATTATTGCGAGGTTTTTGTCATTGGGAATAATGTGACTGGTTAAGAATCACAATAATAAGAACTTGCATTCTGATACCTGACAGATATATTTGTATGCAGCTTTTCTACAAATCGCAATAATTAATCTCGCATTTTTGTCCATTCTGCAATAATCGCAATATAAAATGCACGCAATAATTTCTGAATTTACAGTAATTTTCTTATTGTCCTAAGAAAGTAAAAACATTTAAGTAATATTCTAATACATCTTTGCATTTAATTTGCACACTATCACTCACTGACAATTTATTGTCCCTGAGTACTTAAACACGTTTAAATGACCTTGTACATGATTAATACCTTCAGTGTTGAAATTATCTACACCAAAGGTTACTGCATCATCTTATGACATTGAACCTAACCAAAGGGTTTATTTAAGGCAGATAAAACAAACTTACTATCAGGATCAGTGAAGTACACCAGACATTTCCCTTCATCCTGAACAAACTTCACTTCCCTTACACCTTCCACCCCTGATCTCCTTTTATTGTCAAAGTAGTATTCCATTGTGTCTGATGATGTTTTGTCTTTGTAATCAGTGACAACAATACAGTCTGTAATTGGAACTGGGTGTATGCTAAGATGGCTGCCATCCAATGGTCTCTTCATACAGGCTGTCTGTAATTTCTCCATATCTATAATATAGTTTTACAATCAGTATAAATACACCAGTGCAAAGTCAACAACTGTTTGTAACTTTTCTATGTCTATGACATTATTTTAAAAACAGTATAAATTAACTAGTGATCAATATGTACAATATAATTTTACAAACAGTATAAATATAGCAGGGAAAGGTCAATATCTTAATAGAGGTCATTAATGAATCATGAAAGATAAAAACAACAATGTGAATAAAAGAAGATGTTAGGAATATGTCAATGAGACAGCAACCTCATGACCTAAAAAACATGACACCTAGAAGTCAACATATAGTTTTCAATAACAGACAGGTGCTTATACAAAATGCCAAGGTCTAAATTTAGATAAGCTGTTAATAAGATAAAAAGGAACTGTCAACACCAATTGGATTATTTACTACAAGTTTCTACTGGTATAATTATGAATTATAGAAATTGGGTACCGGTATGTGTTAAAGAGGTAGCAACCAAACAAAACAAAAAAACCTGCGCCATGAGCTCATGATATGCCCTTCACCCTTTCAGCTCGTCTTTATGCTTTAAATGAATTTATGTGTGAGCACTGCTCAAATAGACCCCCCAAAAAAAAAGACTTGCACACACAGTGGTACCCTTTGACACAAAACATGAATAATTTGCAACTATTAAGGCTACCTCAAGTTTAACTAAGTTTGTGGCCTTAATTTTTGAACGAATAAAATTCTATGACCATCCAAAGTGTGAAAAAAGGACAATTTTTGATGCTTTTTCAACTTATAAAGCTTCATTACTCTGAAAATTTCAGGAAAACTGCTCAAATCAGTTTTATTGATTGTCCTAAAACTGTAAAATCCCCCCTTTTTATGGATAAAGTCCCATACCTGTACTCCAAAACGTAAAATCAGAAAAAAATTTAAATCAAAAGGGAACTTATATCAATAAATATAAACAATTTAACAAAGTTTCATGAAAATTGCGCTCAAAGCATTTTTGAGTTACAGTCTGAAAACTGGAAAATCCCCTTTTTCCATGAAAAAAATCCCATTACTCAGAAACGTTAAATGTAAAATTTATAAAAATCAAAAGGGAGCTTACATCAATAGATATAAACAATTCACCAAAGTCCGAAGTGTTGACGGTGTACGGACGGACAACGGCATACTATAATACGTAAACAGGCGTATAAAAATGATAAAAAAACATCTAGAGGGCAATATAAAGTATACAGACTTCAACAACAGACAGATGTCCATACAATTTGTCAAGCTCTGTATTGTACAGAGTCAATAAATAAATTTAACAGAACCAATCAAGCATATACCATTAATGCAATCACAATAAAAGAACAGAGTTCCAATGTCCCCCGCGTTGCACATACTTTATCTATCCAAGGGCAATAACTAAAAAAAACACTTTTTTTTGGTTCTTTAAAACAATTTATAAATATCTCAGAGAAATGAAGGCTTCAGAGCAAATGCAATGCGATTTCCGGTATAATTAATTTTTCCAAGGGGCATAACTCGTTAAAAATATTTGATCAGTACTTATTTTCAAAAGTGTCAAAGACATTGCTGATATAAACCTATGATATAAGTTTCAAAAAAATTCTGGCAAAAATTGTACACATGAGAGCACTATTACAATGCAATTTCCCATATAATTAATATTTCCAAGGGACATAACTCTTTTAAAAATAATTGATCGGCACCAATTTTCAAATTTGTCTGAGACATTGATGATATAAACCTATGATATAAGTTTCATAAAATTCTGGCAAGAATTGTACACATGAGAGCGCTAACGATGCAATTTTCCATATAATTAATGTTTCCAAGGGGCATAACTCTTTTAAAAATAATTGATCAGCACTGATTTTCGAACTCGTCCAAGACATTGCTGATATAAACCTATGATATAAGTTTCATAAAAATCTGGCAAGAACTGGACACATGAGAGCGCTAACAAGACCGGACAGATGGACGGATGGACAGACGGAAGCCCTGTATTTCTATGTCCCCCTGCAACGCTTTCGCAGGGGACAACAACAGCATTCTTATATGCATTCTTCAAACGCTTTGAGTACACGCCGGAGGTAAATAGGAATATATTGTATGTCAGCTGATTGGCAACATAATGATTTATTAGGGCGGTTCCAATCTTACTCCCACTTTGTATGCTTTTTATGAATGAGTTATCCGAGGTCAATCGGTTTAAAAGACGTCATTGAAAGATGACAAAAGAATATAGGCATTATATGGGAAAATGTACGAATGTGAAACTTAAAGTCGTCAAAACATGGAAACATAAACAAACGATGATAAGAATTTGTTGAAAGCCAATTTTCTTAAATAAAGATAATCATTTAACTTAGTCCAATCCTATCTAAGTATGTTATGGTAAATCATTTAAGCATGTCAGTAATTTAGTTTTCTTTGTTTTTACATTAATATTAAAAGTGTGTTTAATTACAGGAACAGCAAATATTTGCCTTTAGCTAGAGCGCTTCGATCCAAAAGAACTGCCTTCTTTGTCCTTTAAGAATAGAAATAATTCATGTGGGCTTGAATTATTTCTTCAATAACATCTAACAATTCAATTATTGTCATTAGACATGTATCATAATTTTTATCAGTTTATGGGGATGGGGATGAGGAGAAGGGAACATTTGCCATTGTCTGTGGTCTTTAATCAAACAATATACCATCAAAAGTTTGTTTTTACTGCTAATTAGTTTATAATCAAGAAACTTTATATATATTTATCATATACTTATAGAAAATATGGTATAATTGTACCCCTTGATAAAACTTATTTGTTCATATATTTATTCATTAAATTTGAAGAATTGTCTTAGCCGTGTGATATGACTTTCGTTATCAACTGCTTCCGGTTTATATCAACTGCTTCCTGTTATTATCGCATGCCTTTCTGTAACGTTATCCTGTGGCATTTTGACGTCATTCTGCAAATTCCGGAAAATACACCTCAATGGTACATTTTTAGTGAAAAACATAACTAAGTATGATAAAAAAAACAAATAGGAAACAGGAAAAAATATTTTTAAAAAATGCAAAAAAAAAATAATACGATAAATGCATTTTTCAAAGTTTTAAAAAAAGTTCTTGTCTGTATGTCTTCTGCTGAAGTATATGATAATAAGAACATAACATGTCATTTTTCATATCAGACCCTTTATCAGCCCATGGTCAAAATCATCCCTCAAGCCTGTCGGCTCTCTGGCTGATATCATGACCTAGGGCTGATAAGGGGTCTGATATGAAAAATGCCATGTTATAATCTGTATTTATTGTATCAAATCAATATTTGTTCAGCTATGTATTAGCATAAGTATTTGTAATGATCATTTATCCAAACAAACAAAAAACCTAAAAGTAAAAAAAAAACAAATCTGCGGTTGAAAATATATATCAGATTCTAACATGACGCTTTGAGTACACACCCGTGGTAAAATATGAATATATTGTTTGGGCTGTTCTGATCGTACTCCCGCGTCATATGCTTTTTTATGAATGAGCTACCTGATGTCATAGAACGATGACGTAAGAATATAAGCATTTTACAGGAAAATACACACTTGTGAAACCGAAAATCATCACAACAAGGAAACGTAAACAAACGATGCTAAAATGTGTTATATAAGCCATTTTTTGTTTCCATATAAGATATATAAATACAATTATCATTTAGATTCATTCAAACCTATCTAAATATGTCATTGTAAATAGTTTAAGCATGCCATTTATTCAGTTTGCTCCGTTCTTTTACGTCAATTTAATAGTGCGTTTATTTATGGGAACGGCAAATAATGCCTTCACCTAGAGTGCTTCGATCCAATAGAATTGCCGTATTTGTCCTATTAGAATCGAAATAATTCATGGGGGCTTGAATATATCGTGATTTTACCACGGGTTGTCCCTTTATGCCGATATTTTACCCCTCGCTATCGCTCAGGGTAAAATATTTGTCATAAAGAGCCAACCTGTGGTAAAATCACGATATATTCAAGCCCCCATGAATTATTTCTTAATTAATTTTTATTGAAGCTATTTTTAAAAGTAAAATTATTGGACAAGCTACCATGCAACAATATTGCTTTCATTCATTTTTACCTGGTGGATGTTCAAATGTAACTAATGCTGTGCCTTCTGCCTCTCCAAATATAATCTCTTCTGGAATACCTTTAGATTTAGCTTCCAGGAAATTCTCCAGTCCATCTTTAGTAGTTGTAGGACTGATATTTGTAATGAACACTTTATTATCATACTTTGGAACTGGTTTTGGTGGAGGTGGTGGGACATATCGTTTTGCATTCAGTGTCTGTCCATCAACTCGAAGGCTTTTACTCATTACTGCTTCAATGGCTAAAATGTACAAGGAGAAATGGTATTGTTATCATGAAAATAAGAAAAATCATGTTTGAAACAATTCAAGATGCAATTCTTCATCAAGACACATTAAATTCAATACAACTTTCCATGTACTCAATTCCATTAAGTTTTTCTGTCATTTGGTTTTCTAAACGAAAACATGTTGAAAGGAAATGTTAATGCTATAAAAAGAAATAAGCATAATCAATACAATGACATTAAAATTAAAATAAACTAGAATAACTCTTAAGTGGACTAAACATATCTCCAACCTTAATCTATAGTCTTTCTTGTAAAGGACACAAATACCCGACTTTCTAGTACTGGAATTTTGGTTGGTGTGTGGGTAGTGGCAAAGATATCATATTTCAAGGAAAATTTTAGGTTTTAGTTTAAGAATTTGAATAAAAAGAGATGTGGAGTTAAAGTCTGCAAACAGCAACTCAATGCACTGATTTTCCTACCCTTTTTCAAATGGGGCCTGGGCCCCTAGGCAGTTGGGAAAAATGTGTCGTATAACGTATGAATTGGGAAGAAATAAATCATTGTGTTCAACATTTTAAGGATGTACATGTTATTTATTAATTTAAAATTCCAATTTTCTTTCATGTTCTATTTTGAACATATCAACTCAGTCATACAACCCTAAGATTTCTCTCACAGACACTTATATGGCATGGTATAATGTTTTCAGTGCTTAGTTTTGAGCTACAAATGTAGAGTCGACCAATGTCACTGATTAGGGTTGCACTACAAGTGGGATTGACGGTCAGTTTCACTTTGTACAGGAACAGAGTTCATTTCAAGTGAATTATGCTCAGGTGTTTGGGTAAAAAACAATTTGTTTAGTGTTAGTACTTGGGTTTGAGGTGACTGCTTTAGTGCCTTTATCCGCCACAACCACGGCTTCATCCTGTTCTACATCCGTAAAAGTAGAAACATTTTCGTTCAAAATATATCAGTCCCTGTAGTATCTTCAGGACTAATTTTGGACTTTTTAAAGCTAAACAAGTTTTTTACTATCAGTGGCATCTTTGGTTTTTTTTTAATTTGCGAACATAATATTTTGAATAATGAGAGGACATGCATGTTCTCTGTTTGGGCATGCTCAATTCACAGCAAAAAAAAAATAAACCAAACCGGAAAATCTTTGCTCAGTACGACATTACCTTTAATGGCCAGACGTCATCCTAATGCTGAACTAAGCTTATACCCATTGTAAAAACTGGTTTACGGTCAAAATATGATAGTTACCTGTCAGTGTCTATATTCGACACGATTACATCGGGAACAGTACAACAAGCTATATTTTGAACCAAATCATACGAACAATAAAACTATCAATTACCTTTCCACTACAACTTGATTGAATTGGGAATTTTACGGGTTCAATTGGGAAAAATTTAGGTATTTTCTGATTGGGAACGGGGCCCATATTCGGACCTAAAATAAAGGCAGGAAAATCACTGCAATGACACATAATACTAAACATTATATAGATAATCCCTGTTTTTTTGTTTGGGTTTGTGTTGCTTAGTCTTTAGAATATCTTTGTACTTTTTTGCAGACTGTTGATCTTTTTGCCCTTTTTCTTTTATTGTCATTAATTTTTCCGTTTCTCTTCCACTTATGAGTTTTTATTGTCCTTTTGGTTTCTTCTGCTTTTTTTTTTAAAGGTAAACATAAGCCTTCAACAATAGACAAGTAGCTATACAATATGTATTGCCCTATATAAATCACCCTAAGTCAAAAAGTTGTGAAATTTTTAACAGTAATAAGTAAGGTTCTGCACTTTGGGTTAAATGATTGATTATCAAATTTGAAATGATTTGCAATGCATAGTTTTACCATCAGTCTGTGAAAATAGAAAACAAAGTTGCCAAGATTGGCCTGTATGAATAGAGAAAAAAATCAGGGAAAATAGTAAATCTCCCTCTTTAGATTGAGACGAAACAAGTGAAACTGCGAGCTACTGCTCACTGATGATACCCCCACCCAAATATGGATAATTTTAATAGTGTAAAAATATGTAAGTGTTCGGTAAACAGAAAGTTATTGAGTGATGAATCTGAAAACGCATCACACAGTATAGCTGACTTATATAAAGCCTGAAACTAAATTTCAGAAATCCTTGTATTGTAGTTCCTGAGAAAAATTTGACGGAATTTTCAACTTGGCTATCATGTGTAAAGCGATACAAGTGTTCGGTAAACAGGAAGTTGTTGAGTGATGAATCTGAAAACGCATCAAACAGTATAGCTGACTTATATAAAGCCTGAAACCAAATTTCAGAAATCCTTATGATGTAGTTCCTGAGAAAGATGCGAAGAAAAATATTCATGGGACGGATCGACGGACAGACAGGTAAAACAGTGAAGCTGGAGAGAAATTTTAAGTACTAAATGGAAATGAAGCAACTTTTTCAATCTGAAAACGCATCACACGGTATAGCTGACTTATACAAGTGAAACTGCGAGCTACTGCTCACTGATGATACCCCCACCCAAATTTTTATAATTTTAATAATCTAAAAATATGTAAGTGTTCGGTAAACAGGAAGTTGTTGAGTGATGAATCTGAAAAAGCATCACACAGTATAGCTGACTTATATAAATCCTGAAACGAAATTTCAGAAATCCTTATGATGTAGTTCCTGAGAAAGATGCAACGAAAAATATTCATGGGACGGAGGGACGGACTGACGGATGGACGGACAGACAGAGGTAAAACAGTATACCCCCACTTTTTTAAAGCCGGGGTATAATAAAGAGTTTACAGTATTTACATATACATACCACTTTCCTCCTCAAACCAGATCATATACATTTCTTTCTCTTCAATAAATTCCATCTTTACAACTTCCGCATTTGCAACTTTGCGGCTTTCAAAATAGTATCTTATGGTATCTTCAGATGTGGTTGGTTTCATTCCCCTTACTTCTATAACAAACTCAGTAGGCATTTCGCCTTTGTCTTCATTCCCTGAGGCTTGTCCATCTTCCTCTACATCTGGTGTGGGTTGACGTGGTAAAAATATCTCAACATCAATCCTTTTCTTCTCAAACAGTAATGGCATTCGGCTGATAACACGTTCAGCAACTATCAATATTAAAAATGGTTACATTACATATACAACAGTATGAAGGATTAATAAAAATACATGTATTTGAAACAATGTTATTTTTTGAAACTGCCTCTTTGGTCTTGTGGAGTCCTGTCCACAAGTGCAGGAGATTTTGGTTTGATCCTGGGCCAGGTCAAACCAAAGACTAGAAAATAGGTATTTTATGCTTCTCCCCTAAGCATATAACATTTAAGAGTAAGAGCAAAGATTGGTTTGCTTTAAGTCTGAATATTGTGTCCTGGTAGGAAGACCATATGCTGACATTTACATAATGAACTAGCATGTTAAAAATCAGGCTCATCTTATTGTTATTTCAAATACATTTCACTCTCAATATAACAATCATTTCTGATTATACATTGCATATGAAAAATCCAGAGACGTCCTTTTCCCACCTTAAATTCTATTCTTTTAAATGGTTGGATCTCAAAAACAAGATCAATGTTTGTCAATCTTTTTGATAAATACTGTACATTTTCTTTTAAAAAGATTTCATTCATGAAAATGTTATTTTGAATTTAAGCAGTCTTCATCCTTAATTTACATTACCTTAAATATAATTAATTATTTTTTATGAGGTGTCGTTTTTATCACAGAGTTACTAACCATCCTCTTCCTCAAACGTAATAATAGCAGAATGACTGTCTTCATCATAATCAAGATCCTCAATGTCACCACCTCCAGACTTTCTCTTGTTTTCAAAGAAAAATCTGATGGAATCTTCTGAGGAACCAGGAGGTATGTTAGAGACTTTTATCATCTTGATGCTCTGTTGACTCTCCTCAAAAGTATCTGTAAGGATAATTTTACTGTAAGATTTAAGAAATTTGAAAAGACAAAAATGCAAATAATGTCCCCTAATATTTATGTCAACTATAGTATTATCTAAAGGAACAAGAAAAAGTAAGTGACTTCCTTACCCTTTTTGTATTATGTAACATAAAAGAATGTCACCCATGAAATATTGTCCATCGGACAAAATTTCATATAAAATATTGTCAGGGGACACTATTTCATCATGAAATACTGTCCAGGACAATTTTCATTATGAAATAGTGTCCTTGTCCATGAAATTTTGTCACCCTCCTTCTGAACAATATTTCACTATGAAATTCTGTCCAGGACAAACAAGTGAAACTGCGAGCTACTGCTCACTGATAATACCCCCGCACAAATATTTCGGTAAACAGGAAGTTGTTAAGTGATGAATCTGAAAAAGCATCACACGGTATAGCTGACTTATATAAACCCTGAAACCAAATTTCAGAAATCCTTGTATTGTAGTTCCTGAGAAAAATATTCATGGGACGGACGGAATGACGAATGGATGGACTGACGGACAGACAGAGGTTAAAAAGTACACCCCACTTTTTTAAAGCAGGGGTATAAAAAGTGTGTGTATAACCTTAAATTGATGCATAAATTAATTATGCAGGTTTGTTTGTTATTATCAATCAATAAAAACAACTTAATGATATCATTATCCAAATTATTAAATGTTTATAACCTCCCTTTCATGGGACAAAATTTCATGATAATCCATCTATGAAATATTGTCTCAATATACACAATATATAACCTTGGATAACCTCCCTTTAACAAGACAAAATTTCATACTATCCATCTATGAAATATTGTCTGTATGTGGACATTATTTCAATGATGGGGACAAGATTTCATGATACAAAGTCATAAAATATTGTCTTGGGGGACAATATTTTGCTTTACAACTGCACTAGTGATTGTTTTCAAATCATACTTCATTGTCATACAGACAGCAGATAATATACATTGAATTATACTCTCTAATAACAGTTTGGTAACACTGCTCACCTACTAAAAGTTTTAAGTCTGATTTTATTGTTGATATTTTTATTTTAGTAGCAATAACAAACATTCAACCAGAATATTTAATAAATTTTACTAGATTATTGTCAAATGTAAAGAGTAAATAGCTAGTCAAAGAAAAAATGCAAAATTTAAAATTTCATTATTTTCTATGTACAGTTCTTTAGACATTAAACTAAAGCTAAATAATTATCATAATTAGTCTTAGGTTACTCAATTGTAAACGACAACTTTTCAGTATTCAAAACATTGTACAAAATGTTTTATTTTTTGTTTGATGTCACAAGAAAATGAGCACCTTTTGCCCTAATTATGATCTGATTCCAAAATTTTTTACAGAAAAAGGTCAATTTTAGTGAGGCTGATGTGGATAACAGCAAGCAATCTTTTACTCATTTTTTTATCAAAAATACAAAATTCAGTCCTCAATAGAAATCCTTTAATTTGATAATTGCTTTTCAAGTAAAACATATGCTCACAGTTTGCTATGGAGACAAAATGAAAACTATCCTTTAAGTAAACAGAAATTATTTTTTTATAGTGAAATGCACTTCATTGTTTGTGAACATGGCTTTTAATTACATCGAAGTTTCTAATACCTTTTTTCTCCTCTATATTGGTAGATGAAGTCTCCTGAGAACATTCAGTTGCTCTTCCAGATTCCATTGATTCAAAGTCTCTCCCCTCATCTTTGTTAGATCCTACTGATTGAAATGACTGATCAGAGTTATACTCATCATTCTTTTCTGAATTATCTTCTTGTGTATTAACATAAGGTTTATGAATTGGGCTTTTAACATTAGTATGGTCCTGGTCTACTGGTGGCCCACCTGGAGGATAATGTGGAACTTGTCCTCCTAGTCCTGGTTGTGGTATTCCCACGTGACCATGATGTTGATAAGGATCATTTGGTCCCATTGGCATATTTGATGGTCCCATGTGAGGTTGTGGATGCTGTCCACCTTTTGTTTGATATTGATGTCCATCATCATGTTGATGAGGATAATTTGGAAAGACTGGATATCCAGGATAACCTTGATAGTACTGATAATAAGGATAAGGATGAACTGAAGGACCTGGAACATCATCAGGACCTCTCTTCTCATTTGTATTTTGTTCATGAGGTCCATAATATGGATTTGGCCAAGACACAGGAGGCATGTAGGCTCCAGGTACATGTTGATTGTATTCTCCTGGAACTTGTGGATTGTAGAAGCCAGGACCAGGTCCATATGGATATTCTATTTTTGGCATTTTTTCACCAGGTGGTGGTCTATTCATCTCATGCTCAGGTTGTGGTCTTTTCAAATCTTGATGAGACGGTGGTATTTGTAAATCAGGTTGTGATGAGTGTCCTGCATATGGTGGTGGCTGATGCGGATTATTATAAAGATATCCTGGTCCTGGTCCTGGGTATGGTCCATATGGCTGACCTTGGTCACCTTGGGGTTGCTGTTGAAAAGTTGGTCCTGGCACAGGCATATTTTCAACAGGATATATGTCATTATATTTTGGTGGTTGGTTTGTTGCTCCTTCTGGTTGGTTTGTTGCTCCTGCTATGTCAAAAGAGTCCCCTGAACTTTCTTCCTGTTAAATACAGTAATGTTGATATAAATACATTGATTAAATAAATTGTGTAGGTTTTTCATGATCGTACATGTACAGGACTACATGTATGTATATAAAATCTGAAACTAAACAAATGTACAGAAATTATTCAAATGCAGTAAAGATACAAATTCAGTCAGAACTTCCTAGAGAAAGAGAAGCTAGAACAAATAACCAGTGGAAATGAAAGCAACTGTTTGAAAAGGGCATTATTAAGAAGTTTCCAGCTTCAAAATAAACCATCAATAGACATGGAAATAAAATCATGTTGTTGGAGGATATATTGATTAGTCCCTATAATTTTTACTACATTTTTATTGGTAGTAGAATTTAAATTGAAATTTTTAAAAATTACAAATGAAAATTGTTCAGTAAGATAACGGAATTCAATATGTAAGTAGGTTGAACAAACTTTTTTTTTTTTAATCAAGGAAAAATTTCCTTCATCTTTTCATCACTTTTTCAAACTATGAATATGAGATACCATATCAGGGTAACTTGATTAGGGTTTTCTGATAAAAAATTATCATGCAAACTGATACTTTAGGCTGTATTTATTTGATTAATATTAAACATTGTACTTTCGAAATATGTAATAAATTAAAGGAGATTTGTGGTAAACATCAATGAGACAATAACCCAATGACACAGAAAAAAAAAACATCTAAAGTTCAACATGCAGTCTTCAGCAATAGTCAGATTGTTGTCTCATTTGTCATTCAATCCCTGTTTATAGAGGAAATGAATCAAAGATTGTGAAGGATATAGGTTAACAAGACAGCAACCCAATATCACAGAAAATACAAACAACAATGTATTGTAAAATCATTTATACCTGTATATGCCATTCCTGAAAGCAGTTGTGCACCCATAAAATCAGGATTGGTAATGTGCAATTGTACATTAGTATAAACTTTTTTTGTGAAAGCTCAGTTAAAGTTACTTAACACAAAATTTTGATTTGAGTAACATGACGAGCGCAACTAGTGGGACAGGAACTGTATACCTTTCTTAACCCTCTGAGTTGACACATTTTTGGTGATGTTGTTGCTAAATCTTTAGTTTTCTTTAATGTTTTGTGGACTAAGTGTTGCGTGTCTATTCCTCTGGGTTTTTATCCATGATGTTGTCTGTTTTATTTGAAAGCCCCTTTTTACCCCTTTCTAAAACTAGAGAGGTGATCTAGTGGTCACAGATACCACCACCCACAGCAAATTAGAAATCATATTATCCAGAAACCACAAAATTTTGAAGTTTTCCACAACTACAATAATTCTTGAACGGTAAAAGTGAAAATGACAAAAATTGAAATTAACCTGTGTTTAGTGGTCCAAAACATTTCATTAAAATCTTAATTAATTTCAAAAAGGAGTTCTCCAATAATTATCTGGAAAATAAGTGGAAACAATGAAAATCAAAATCAACCTGTTGTTAGTGGTCTAAAACACTCCACTTAAATTTCAATCAATTTCAAATAGGGGTTCTCCATTCATCACACGAAACCAAAATTTTGTATTTTTCCACAATCAAGTTCAATTACTCTTAAACAGTAAAAGTGAAAACGATGGAAATAGAATTTGTAGTTCTAATAAAATGCTCTGCAGAGGGCAGCTTGATACAACAGCAGAGGTCAAATCCTGAACAATTGGGGCAAGTATGTACACTACATTCAAGCTTGATACAGCTCTGAATTTGGATTGTGATTAAATATTTGACACAGCATAGGTTTCTTACAAAGAATGAGTGTGGTCAAAGAACTGAAAATTTTGAAATTGGACTTTTACCTATTATGGTCCAATATCCAAAATCTAAATATACCGTTAGATTCAGCATATCCATCTACACCAAGAATTTAATTAATTTATTTATTAATGGACAATATTAGCTAAAATGGGTTCGCTTCATCAACAAACTGAAAATATATATATAGCATTCTGAAAATTAATTTATACAGAATAACAAACGAATCTACCACGAGGTTTTTCAAAAAATGTACCAAAAAATGAAAAATACAATTTCCAAAATATCATTCCTCTTTAATACAAAGTCTTTAAAAAATCTATAAGATTTACCTTTTTTCAAAATATCTAATAAGGCCAAATAAAATTAATCGATAGATTTTCATACCCGCCCGCCCCTCTGAAATCGTCCCGCCCCGATTTTTTTTTATTTTTTAAAATTTACAATTTCTGGATTTTGTTCATTTCCGTAACGTTATCGGTAACCGCCGATAATTTGGTTTCATTCAAATTACGGTTTTCGTATTTCTTTTGAGTAATATAACCAAAATGATTAAGTTGACATATTCTGCTGCTCAATGATGACAACATTATCTTCTAAGAATATAGATTGATTACTAGAAGGGCATGACATATTCGGGTTACAAGAATGACAAGAGCGGTATGTCACAAATTTCAGTGATTAGAAAACCGTTGATTTTTTTATTTATTCAATTACTTTGTGTCAGGAAATTTGGACTGTGAATGATATCCAAAGCGCAAGAATCGTGGAACACATTGGTACAAGAACATGATTGGAATAAAGTGATAGACGTACATGTATTTACACTTGTATGTAAATCTGTCCGCCATTACTTAAAATCACACAAGTTCCCGTAAAATTTGACCAAAATAATTAAGTCGACATATTCTGCTACTCTATGATGCAAACATTCTCTTCAGAGAATAGAGATTGATTACGGGAACTTCGGGAAGGGCATGCACAATTTTGGTTATGAGTTATAGACAGTGTCTAAGAACGCAAATCGCAGAATGTCACAAATTTCAGTGATTAGATAAACGTGGATTATTCTATTTATACAATGACTTTGTGTCAGGAAATTTGGACTGTGAATGATATTCAAAGCACAAGAATTGTGGAACACATTGGTACAAAAAACAGGACTGGAATAAAGAAATCGACACAAGCACAAACTTGTGCGATTTATGACTCAATGAGTACAAAAAGTCGGCTAACGTATACAACGCATTATAACAAGCCCTTAGATTTACCCCAAGGCTGTCGTTTTTTTTGTTGACAAACAGCAAACACCCACTGTCCCCAGCCCCTCAATAGAGTCATTAAACAAATTCTTCTTTTTAGTTAAGTTCATGTTTTACATTGTAGTTATATTTGCACCTTGCATAAGAATCTTAAAAGCATCAAACTTATTATTTTCAACACAGTTTGAGTTTTCATTTCACTCTGTAATCATAATACTTTTGTTGCATACCAATGCATAAGCTTCATTTTATGGGCACTACAAAAGTTGTTGCATGTCAGTTTTAAAACCTTTTTTATGATGAGTATGACTTGTTATCATATGTGCCCAGTTCTGACAAAAGATGCTGGCATTCACGAAATTTCTATTCTCCCCCCTTAATTTGGAAATATGTCTTGCTCCTGATGCTTTCTGATATTTAAAAGTATGTAGAGTGAGGAGAAAGTGATGTCATGCATCTCAGATACTGCCATCCTTTGACAAAAACATCAATTTCTATTATTTATTGTCCTAATTAATTACTTAATGCAACTCAATGCATATGCTTCATTTTATGGGCATTACAAAATGCCCATAATGCTTAAAAGAAAAATAAATTTGATGTAGGTAGTCTAAAAGAGAACATTTCTCCACGTTTTTTGCTCTTTATTAAAAATAGGTTTCTAAAGCGGCCATTATATGTAGAACAGAGGTTGCCAATTAGAAATATTAATTTAAGAATTTGAAAATAATGTAGAATTCCTTATATATATACATGATATTAGCTTATTAATACCCTTGTATATGAACAACACGTCACAAAAGGGTTAAGAGGAAATAAAAATTCAAAAATAAAATCCTCCCACCTGCCCCATTTTTTTCAAAAATCTGGATGAAAATCTACCATTTAATTTTAGTTGGCCTAATGAGCAGTAAATCTCAAACTATGTTTATAAATAATTTCTTCTCTAAAATTAGATTTGATGTTGTTACTATTTTTAACTATGACTCTACTTACAATTTCTATTAATTGTGCAATACAGCTCTGAATTGGATTGTGATTAAATGTTTGACATAGCATAGTTTCTGACACAGAATGAGTGTGGTCTAAGAACTTAAAAAAATTGAAATTGGACTTTTACCTATTATGGTCCAATATCCAAAATCTAAATACATACTTAGAATCAGCATATCAAAGAACCCCAAGATTTCAATTTTTGATAAATTCAAACAAGTTTAATTTTGGACCCTTTGGACCTCAATGTGGACCAATTTGAAAACGAATCCCAAAATTAAAAATCTAAATACACGTTAGATTTTGCATATCCAAGAACCCCAATAATTCAAATTTTTATGAAATTAAACAAAGTTTAATTCTGAACCCTTTGGACTTCAATGTGGACCAATTCAAAAAACAGGGCCCAAAATCCAACATTTAAATACAGATTCAGCATATGAAAGAACCCCAAAAATTCAAGGCTTTGAATTAAACCACATTGAAATTGGGTCAAGAAATAAGTAATTTAAAAATTATACAAAGTATTAAAAAAGTATTGTTTTTGGCCCCCAAAATCAATCCTAACCTTCCTTTTATGGTATGGCACCTTGTGGTACAATTTCATAGAGATCCATAGACTTATACTCAAGTTATTGTTTGGAAACCAGAAAATCCTAGTTTTTTGGCCCCTCATTTCTAAGCAGTTTGGGCCCTAACCCCCAAAATCAATACCATCCTTCCTTTTGAGGTATGGAACCTTGTAGTACCATTTCATAGAGATCCATACACTTATACACAAGTTATTGTCCTGAAACAAGAAAAATGCTTGTTTTTTACCCCTTTTTGGACCCTAATTCCTAAACAGTTAGTCTAGCGGGGGTGTACAAAAATCTAAAATGAAAATTTTCAAATTAAACTAAAATGACAATGCACTTTTTTCTGCACTTAACCAAGCTTAGTAATTTTTGGCCTAACAATTGTATTAATTGCTGTTTAGAGCTACTACCTGAAACCAGTCATGTGGAATATCACATGGTCTCTGACATTGGTGTATCATAAGATAATAGTCATCTTCAACCTTTAGTCTTTTCTTTTTAACACAGTCCTCAGCATCTGTAAAGAAAAAATGAGGATTGTGAATTATTGATAAAGCAGAGATTTGAAATTTTTACTTTATAAATTATTTATAAAAATTTTAAACTGCAAATTTTTAAAATTATTCCTGTATTAGTGCTTCATATATATGTTTTGGCATTTAGCAAGATACATGTATATGCTAGAGTTAAATGTGGTGCTGTTTTTTATTATTTATTTGCATGCTGCATGCCTTGTTTTATTTGTTATTGCATATGTTTTTATATTCGGTGAAAAGCTCATTAGAGCTTATGTTTGTATGTTTGTCAATATGCCGAATCAAAATAAAGTTTTACTTACTTACTTACTTACTTACTTACATCTTAGGACAAAAATTCAACCTTTACAATGCTTAGAGCAATTAAAATTGTTTAGGATAGTAAAACATTTTGTATAGAATGCCAACCTCATGGCAATAAATATTGCAGGCATCAATTTAAAAATATGTGGCCATTTTTTTTTTCCCTATGCAACATATTTATGAATAAGACACATGCAGTGGTTACATTGCACCATTATTTTAAATACATGCATTAATATTATTAACTTTTATGCCATTTGGTCTCTTGTGGAGAGATGTCTCATTGACAATCATACCACATCTTCTTATTTTATAATTACTCTACAAGAATGAAAATTAGTGTCCATGATGAAAACATATTATAAATACTACACTAACATTGATATCAACATTTTTGTTTTTCTCTGTTTTATGATAAAATCTTTTCATGAATGCCTCTAAATATAATTGTGTCTTCTTCTACCAATGAAGTCAGGAACTGATTAATACACATAAAGAACTACTGCAATATTGCAATGATTTATCATCACTTGGATACACTTGTGTAATCAGTTTTCATTTACAGTCAGTAATAACAATTACTTGAGGGCACAAATATATATGTTAGACTTAGACGTCCTATTATACGAAAACGACGTAAAAACGACCGGAATCACCTCTCATTGATGTCCAATATCATTTAACCATTTATTTTTAGTTTGATCTTTGTTTATATTATCTGAATAATTTTGTCTTTGTGTAAAGCTTCTTAAAGAAACTAATTCCTTTCCTATATCTTTATCAAATTGAAAATAAGGACAAACACCGGAAATGACAATAAAACAACCATCAACATCATGTAACATGCATATTAATATTTTGGTGAAAGAAATTCAATAAAATTAATAAATGACATGTAGATATATGATAATGAGAGAACAACCCAACAAAAAAGATAACCGAAAACATCTAGAGGGAAATATACAGGTTCAAATAATAGGGGAAAAAAGTACAGACAATTGTTGAAAACTATTATTATTTGAACTTAAAATCTTAAATTTTTCAACAAATTTTTGAGTCTTAGATTTAACCAACCATTTAACAAAGTTATGATGTCATTGCAACAAGTCAGTAAAAGGACATCGATTAGAGAACCCAAAAACTGGAAGTCGATTTGAGCCCAACAAAAAAGTCATAGAATTAGCCGTTGATAAGGAAACATCTCTTATGATGTCAGATTTGGACTAGGGGCTGTCTTGAAAATTAAAGTGAGGGGAGATCTTTTTTTGCTCAGTGTTGAAGGCCTGACTATGAAATGAAGAACAGCAATAAAAGCACTGTTCCTTTGCTTATTGTGTGTTTTCTGCTGTGCATGTACTGATTTTGTGTCATGGATGGTCTGGATAACTCATATCCTTTGTTTTTATACGCCCGTTTACGGGATGTATTATGGTATACCGTTGTCCGTCTGTCCGTCCGTCTGTCCGTCTGTCCGTCGTCAACATGTCGGACATTAACTCAAAAATGCTTTAACCAATTTGCATAAAACTTTGGTGAATTGTTTATATCTATTGACGTGAGCTCCCTTTCGTTTTTTATAAAATTTAGATTTTATGTTTCCGAGTTATGGGGTTTTATTCATTAAAAAAGGGGGATTTTCCAGTTTTCGGACAATAAGTCAAGAATGCTTTCACCAACTTGCAAGAAATTGTGGTGAATTGTTTATATCTATTGACATGAGCTCCCTTTCGATTTTTATAAATTTTAGATTTTACGTTTCCAAGTTACAGGGTTTTATTCATAAAAAAAGGGGGGATTTTCCAGTTTTCGGACAAAAACTAAAAAATTCTTTCAGCATTTTGTATGAAACTTTGGTGAATTGTTTGTATGTATTGATGTAAGCTCCCTTTAGAATTTTATAAATTTTACATTTTACATTTCTGAGTTATGGGGTTTTATTCATTAAAAAAAGGGGTGATTTTCCAGTTTTCGGACAATAACTCACAAATGCTGTCACCAATTCTCATGAAACTTTGGTGAATTGTTTATATCTATTGATGTAAGCTCCCTTTTTATTTCCATAAATTTCTAATAAGACATTGAGAATTAATTGAACTTTATTTGTTTATAGTCTGACAACAGATTTACTAAGTATTGGGGACTATTGCACAACAGCAAGAAATCTTTAATTGAATATAAATTCAATTCATATAACCAATTTCAAGTTCTTTGACTACATTTATTCAGAAACCTATAATATGTCAGATATTTAATTACAATCCAAATTCAGACCTGAATCAAGCTTGAATATTGTGTCCATTTTTGCCCCAACTGTTCAGGGTTGGACCTCTGCGGGCGTATCTAGCTGCGCTCAGCGAGGCAGTTTATTCTATTATGAGTTTGAATGTCCCTTTGGTATCTTTTGCCTCTCTTTTTCAATATATTTTACATGAGCTCTTGTGTTTTATATGTTTCGTATGATTAATATGTATGTGTTGCACCTTTTGTATAGGATTGATTGTTTGCCACCTTTACTAAAATGAAGCTTATTTGATTTGATCCCAAGTCTATATTGCAGCACAACATTTTCATGTTTCATTATAACTAATGTAAGATTTATAATACCTTATTGCAATTTGTCCACCATACATGTAACTGGTGATCACAGAACGTCCCATAAAATCTTATGATCATCAAAGAAAAAAAATGCCTGATACTACATGGCATAAGACTTAATTAGTGATTGTTGTATGAAGATAATGGAAACAAGACAACTCGTCCCACTACCAAATTGCCCCAGACAAACTCACTCCACTTTCCGTGGCCTATTTTAACAACCTGCCCCACTCTTGTTTACCAACTCGCAACACTTAAAAAATCCTGCTAAATTTAGGCCTGCCAACTTACCCCACTATAGAAAAGAAGTCATATCCCGTCAAATTTAAACCTGCAAAATCGCCCAACTTAAGAAAAAGAGTATAAGTCTGCTAGATTTAGACCTGTTAATTCGCTCCACTAATGAAAAGGAGTATAATTGCCATGAATGAAAGGAATGCCAACTCACCCCACTAACGAAAAAAAGGTATATCCCGCTAAATTTTTATCTGCCAACTTGTCCCACTAATGTATAATTGTTGTATTTATTTAGGAATAACTTTATTTTTTCAATTAGTTTGAAAAATTAACAAAAACAGTACTTGATGTCGCTATCTAAAGCAAGCTTACTTATTTGCATAATAATGGTAAAGTTTATTATATCATAATGCAATATATTATCATAACAATTTAAGGATTCCAATTCAACAGCCAATTGTTTTCATAGCAATTAACGGATTGGCAACTTTTGTCTAGTAACTAAGAATAATTAAACACTAACGAGCAATCAGTGATATATTTTCATTAGTGGTCTAAAGTTAGTGGGGCAAGTAGGCATGTCTGAATTCAGTGGAACTTAACTTCTTTTAATTAGTGGAGCCACTTGGCAGACCTTTATTCATCGGAATTAAACTCTTTCCATAAGTGGAGAGAGTTGTCAGGACTAAATTCAACAGGATTTTACCCTTATTCATAAATGGGGCCAGTTGGTGAAAAAGTGGGGCGATTTGGCAGTGGGGTGAGTTGTCATGCATGGATTCATATCCAGTTATGCCACTGCTAGGTCAAAACTAGTCCAAATAATTATGACGTCTTGAAAGACTATTTGCCACAGCAAAAAATTAAAATAGCCTTTCAAGATGTCATAATTATTTGGTCTAGCAGGTCAAAACAGTAAAACTGAAAGTCTATTAAAAAAGTCAACCTACTTGTACTTATCTCAGTCATCATAGCTTAGGCCGTTAAGCTTTGAAAGATACATTATACATCAATTTCAACTTTTTCTGCGTTTTAGAGAATTTAAATAATTATTGATTACCCTCTTCAGAAGCAAACAATAATAGCCAATTATTTGTTGGGTCGTCCTCATTTGGCGACGGACATTCAAACATAGAAATTTTTACAACCGATGGAAAATATTTTCTCATATCATCCTGATTCAATTTTTCACTTGGTTCTTCAACATGTACACATCTCTTGGTTAAAGTAGATCGGTCCATCTTTCTTCCCTCTGAAATGTTAAGGTGAAAGGTATACCGGAAGTCAACGTTCATTGGTTATCCAAAAATAAACCTGGAATTTCCCTACCATTTCTCAAAAATGAAAGTAATATTATCACGTATTATTTCGACATTCGTTTCTTGGAAGTTAAACTGTTTCTGCACGGACACTCAATACTCAAATACTGTATAGCTGTACTTACGAATTTATAGGCCATTTTGCTTCTTCTGATACATTATGTGTTAGCTATATTTGATATATGCGGACAGTGTCGACATTGGCATTGCTTACCAATTTACAAAGATCTGCACTGGTTCACTCTGATCGCCACCAAAGTATTATATGTAAAATAGAATCAATTCATATGCAATATTGCAAATGTTTTATATTTATATATTTATCATATGCATGTTCTACCGTCGATTCGTTTGCTATACCATGGTACTGTATATATATATAAAATCATATAAACATGCATTTTCGCTCCTGTTACGCAGTTACTGCGGCCAGAGACATATAATACATGTATTATATGTCTCTTCTGCGGCTGAGCTGTATTTTGAAATAAACATCTAAAAGGTGCAGGAGGGCGCGCTCCGTTTTGTATATGAGAATTATACCTCATCATATAAAACCCTTCTAGATGTGGCAAAGGTTACAACTCTGCAGGTGAGAAGAATCAGGACAATGGCACTTCAGACTTATAAAATTAATTAGTCAATCTAAAGGACTCAAAATACAATTTTAGGTATAGTGACATCCAAGACGTACCACAGATAATGACTAGCACATACGGTAAGAGATCATTTAGATATGCAGCCGCCGCTTTAATTACTCTAGAATAGCTTTAAAACCATTCCAGGACGGTAAATATTTTTCTCATTTTAAGGGTTTGCTACAGTCCTGGAATGATTCGAAATGTCGATGCTCAACCTGCAGACAGTTAAAATCTGCTCAAGTTATAGTTATTTAAGCAGAGACTCAGATAGGCGATTGTCACATGGGTCTATGTTCAGCTAACCAAATTTTTCAAAGTTTACGAATTTGAAAGTCGTCTATGCTGAGGCTTGTCTATTCAACTGAACAACAATAAGAAGATACATATTAACTGAAACTTTACAGCCATATTAATATACAATGTTTTCAAATTTTGTAAACACTGTGTAACTTAAAATTATGATATTATCATGGTACTGACTACGGTTACGTTATAATTTCGGGACTGCAACCGATTGATTACAGTCGTAACAATAATCATTTGTGTAAATACGGTTACACTGCGTTATTTATTACCTTAGAATTATTAAAACTTTAAAAGACTTCGGTTTTGTTGCTTACTTCTCCAATATGCTTGGTAATTATACTTATTACTTGTTTACCTAAAACTAGAAGAAATTGTTTTGTACAGACTCATATAGCCATTTTCAATTATTGTTAAGGGTAAAAGCATCTGTAATTTATAACCAGTTAAACCGTTCTCTAAAAAGATTGATAAATTAGTCTCTTTATATTCGGCACATACATAGTTTTAGACGCGGAGATTATAAATTAAACTTCAATTTACATATTTCAAATATTTGTAAAAAGGCTGCAAGGCAATTAAATGTTTTGAAAAGAATTGGGAAACACCTAAACAAACTGAGTAAACTTACAATTTATTACTCACTTGTTATGTCAAACTTTAGTTACTGCCCTTTGACTTGGCATTTCTGTGGGGAACAAAATACAAGAAAAATAGAAAAAATACAAGAGAGCGAGCGCTTCGTTTTATTCATAAAGACCACCAGAACTCGTACGAAACACTCCTGCAGATTTCAAACCTTCCACCACTAAAAACTCGTGGAATGCGCTCAATTACCTTGGAGACCTTTCAAATAATTAATAAAAAATGTTCTTTATTTATTCAAGATCTAGTTGTTAAAAAAAATAATTCATATAATTTCAGGTATGTGAACACTGCTGATGTACCTAAACCAAGAACCTCAAGTTATGGTAAAAGATCTTTCATATTTGAGGCAGCACAAGTATGGAATTCCCTTCCCAATGAGGCTAGAACTATGACCTCTTTTGGCCAATTTAGGAATTATATAAATTCCTGGTGTGGGGGTCAAAAATGCAACTGCAGTTAATGCCGTTTCCATCCAGTGATGCCTCATAGCTGAAATTTATTTCTTTTCTTTTTCAGTATTTTATGATATTTCAGTGATTGCTGGTTCCCCCATTCAATGCACATAGAGGTGTTTGCCGCATGAGCATTGACCCTGGAGATTCAGAAATCAAAATTAATTTGCTTTCATTATATTTGCATGCTTTTTTTTATCTCTGTTTATTAGTATTTGGATGAAGCTGCATGATTTTTATATGGTAGTCGGTTAAAGAGCTAACCAGAGCTCATGTTTTATCTGTTATTATGTATATGTTATGTACAAGTTATCATTTTGTACAAATTATAATTTGTACAAAAAAATTGTACAAATTATAATTTGTATTTTGACTTTGTACAAATTGTAATTTGTACAAAAAGTGCTTGTACAAATTACAATTTGTACAAAATTTGACTTAAATTCACTTATAACTTGTACAATAATTTACTTTATGGATCTTGTTATAAAAAAAAAGCATTGATACACACCAAAGAAGTTGTATTCCATGACCACACAATAAACCTTATTTACAAAATACAAAAAATTGTTCTGTATCATTTGTTTGAGCATGTGATTGAATTATGGCATCAGGAATTACACAACATCATTTGCTTTTTACATTTACATTTGCTCCCCCTTTGCATTTACATGAAAGAAAAACCTAACCACCAGTTTTTGAAAGCTTTTTATCTGCTTCACGTAGCGAAGGTCGAAGCTCAGGAACCGTTGCTGCGAATAAAGATGTGTTTTTAACAGCTTCAATTTGATTTCTCGACAAATATCCTGTTGAAATTCCTACAGCAGTTCCAGTGCGGTACCCAAATTTTCCAGATTCAATGATTACACATCAGATATTTCAAGGATCAGTTGGGGTACGATCATACTGAGGAATTGGTATAATGATTTTATACCTCACAGCAAGTTCTGATAATTTCTGTTTCGTTTTCATGGTTATATATTCGGTTTGGATCTGTTGGCCAGACAGCGCACGGTTCCTGGCACGTATGATTGGTGTTTCAACGTCAGTGTCATCCTAATTGTCACGGGGGCCAATTTCTAGATACTATCAGAATTGTCACTGAGCCAGTTTCTAGGTATACTATCAGAATTGTCACTGAGGCCAATCTTTATGATACTATCAGAATTGTCACTGAGGCCAATTTCTATTATACTATCAGAATTGTCACTGATGCCAATTTCCCTGATACTATTAGAATTGCCACTGAGGCCAATTTTTATTATTCTACCAGAATTGTCACTGGGGCCAATTTCTATTGTGCTATCAGAATTAACTGACATGCATGTATCAATTACATTTGCTGTCTCTGGGTATTTTTGTATTTTGTAAATAAGGTTTATTATGTTCTGTAAATATGTTGTGTGTATCAATGCTTTTTTAAAACAAAATCCATACTATAAATTGTTGTACAAGTTATAAGTGAATTTTAGTCGAATTTTGTACAAATTGTAATTTGTACAGGCACTTTTTGTACAAATTAAAATTTGTACAAAGTCAAAATACAAATTATAATTTGTACAATTTTTTTGTACAAGTTATAATTTGTACAAAATGATAACTTGTACACAACATATATATATGCCAACTTTAAATAGAATTTACTTACTTACTTACTTACAATAGTTAATTTTCAGTCAAAGGATCAATTGCATAATTTTTCGTGTTTGTACGAATTATATACAAGTAAAAAGCATTAAACAAATAATGCAGCCGTATGTATTTTTATTTCGTGCCTGCCATGTTACTGCAAAGCATTTAAAAATTCTATATTTTTTTCTCATCTATTTTACCCAGGTTGGTTGACTATAATGTAAAAAAAGTATATTTTTTATTTAATTTGCAAGTCTAAATTGAAAACAACGTTCAAACCTATGATTGCGTTGGATAAAAACCGCAATTTTTATACGTGTGCATGCAAAGCAAATTTCTTGGTAGAGGCGTCTAAATACAGCACAAACAACATTTTCCAAAAGACCAAATGAGTGAAAAAGTATATTTTAACAAAACGCATTTGACTAGCAGGTCTAACAACTGATGTTCTTAAACCCTGCTGACTGCCATTAGCGATTGCCAAATAAACGGATCACAAGATGTAACAAAATAGAATTTATTATTAATTTTTTATTACCAAACAGAAAACAATAATTTTGCGGAAAAGATGGTTTACCGCAAACATGAGGTGCAAAAATTTGTACACCATATCCGGATTTCGACAATTAATGTATCTTCAGTGATGTTGGGAATCGAAACGGTATTTGGAAAGCCATATAATTTACCTCAATTTAGGAAAGACTCTTGAATTTTGAAAGAGTCAAAATAGGATGAACGGATCATATAAACCCGAAGGCAAATATAATACAAGCCCAAACGAAAAAATATAAACAAATCTAAATTGAAAACAACGTTCAAACCTATGATTGCTTTGGATAAAAACCGCAATTTTTATACGTGTGCATGCAAAACAAATTTCTTGGTAGAGGGGTCTAAATACAGCACAAACAACATATTCCAAAAGACCAAATGAGTGAAAAAGTATATTTTAACAAAACGCATTTGACTTTTTATTTGTATATATATATATTCTCTACCAAGAAATTTGTTTTGCATGCACACGTATAAAAATTGCGGTTTTTATCCAACGCAATCATAGGTTTGAACGTTGTTTTCAATTTAGACTTGTATATATATATATATATTGTATTATTTAATTTTTTTACCCGCAAAGAAATGTGTTATCCTTTGGGGATTTCCTTACAAGGAAATTATAGTTCATTCGTTGAACAAATAATTACATTAATATAGTATAATAATTAAGAGTGAGTTTTGTTTTTGTCTGGCGGATTAAATTTAGAATTATGTG